CTATAACTAGATTGCTCACTTTGATTAACAGAAAGAGATAAAAGTGAGGCTAAAATGTTTTTACGTATGTCCACCCATGCACATGCATTATCTGTATGTATATTATGTGTGAGTGCACGTGATTTTGAGTTTATTAAATGACCAACACTATATATTTATAAACAGGGTCCACCAAAAGTCCCGGGTCACCTGAATAATTTCTGAATGGTTCAAGATGTAGGATTGAAATGTATAGGGATCATAAAATCTATCATTAAACCTCAAAAACACCCACTTTAACATTCTCGGGGAGAGGGGGGAAAAGGGGGCCTAAAAATCTTAAATGAGTGAGGACTTATTTGAAAGAGCTCTTCGAGACGAAAACAACAATTTTTTTCGCAGAGTTATAATCATTTGAACATTGTTATTCAGAAGACTAACGTTTGGGCCAAAATAATGGTTAATCGTATTATATTACCGTTTTTCATTGAAGATAACATAACTTCAGATAATTAGTTAAATTTCCTAAAACATCAAGTGATACCGGCTATTCAAGATATTGCTGAAGAAGCTTTCTAAAATGTTTGATTTCAGTAGGATGGGGCTCCAGCTCATTTTTCTCTGGTAGTTCGAAATTTGTTTAACGGTATTTTTACTGATCAATGGATTCAATGATAGATTTTATGATCCCATTGTATTCCTGTAAATTTCAATCTTATATCTCGAATTTCAGAAATTATTCAGATGACTCGAGACTTTTGGCAGACCCTGTATATTTATATACAATATATTACTGTTCGAGGATGCTTGCGATTTCTTGCATTTTACAAAAACTTAAATATCCCGATGAAGAAAAATCATAAAAAAAAGTTTTTTAAAAATACATTTTAAACAAGAAAGAGGGAACTAATTTAGACCTAATCTTTGTGTGGACTCAAAACCATAAACTCCAGTGATCAAGAATAAATAAGAATAAATAAGAGTAAACAGCGTTGTTGGTACTGATAGTAATAAGAAGTAAATTTCTTCAAATTACTAATTTAAATACAACAAAGATTGTTACAACATTAAATTTGTAAATCTAATGTGATTCGAACAAAGAAAAAATGTTAAATTTGTATTAGCTGATGATGACTCCAAAGTAAGTCGAAACATACTAAATTTGTTATTTAAATGAAATAAATTAATAATTTGAACAAATTCACTTCTTATTACTGTACGTATCAACAACGTTGTACTCTTATTTGTTCTTAATTACTAGAGTTTATAGTTCAAAGAGGGAACATTTTTTAAATTGATGTTTTGTATCTATGAGACTTTGGTCCTAAATTATGTAATATTGAAAATTAACATTTTTTTCTAAAATGTTTTTTATCTTGGAAACTAAAAAATTTACGGTAATCAACTACTGAAGAGAGAAAGGACATTAAAAAATTCAATATTAACTGTAATTATATATATATATAAACACTTTTTTATTAAAAATTTTAATTAATGAAATAACATTATATTATTATACATGAAAAATATTATATTTGTAAATAACTAGTAACTCTTAATGTATAACATCATACGAGATCGCAAAAATTACATTGAAAGTTACGAGATTAATTTTTTTTAATTGTATTTTTTACTGAATGTTTTTTATGAATGTGGATTTTTAAATAAATAGCATAAAATTCTTTATATGTTAGTTGAAAACTATATTTCATACTTATTATTTTTATTTATTATTTCACATTTATTATTTTCACATTTAAAAGAGGAACAATTCATAATTATGTATTCTTAATTTCAGACAAAATTTGGAACTGTCCCTCCTAATTTTGGGTGGTTGATGACTTTATCTTACATCATACGAACATGTTCAGCAATAAACATATGGAAGTGAGCAGTTTAGTTGTAGACTTAATTAACAAGTAGTAAAAGACTACAGTTCTACAAGCTTTTTCCTAATTGAAAACATATCGCGAACTTAGAAAAAATGAAGTTATATTTTTACTTTTGTATACGCGTTTTTGATATAGTATATTACTAAAGAAAAAAAAATGTAAATGTTGTAATATAAAAAAAAATATTTGAACAAATATAATGTAATTATTATAATTACTTAGAAAATAACTGCCAATGTGATGTATTTAAATGAAATATTTTCTGTACTGTATCATTTAGCATATATTGCATATTAGCAATATTTGAAGGAAATTTCTATTATTAGGATTGTAAACTAAGCTATTTTTTTCACACACAATTGTAAAAATTAATAATATACTCGTTGTATAAAGCCACGATATATAAATAAATGTAATAACACTTTAATAAAAAAAATGAGATGTACTCATTTATTATATAAAATTAATGTATGTGTATAGTGTGTATATGCTTACGAAATAGATTTATATTATGACTTCTTGCCCAGACAGCACATGATGTTCTGAGAATATTCTAAAAACGTCATGTCTAATATACATAGGATATATTCCATACATATCAGGAGACGCAGTAGTGTCTCCAGCCATGTTCAAAAACTGAAAGATACTACAAGTCTCTTATCCCGAGCCACCAAAGTCCATTTTTCGGGGGTGCAAAACTACTAAAATATAAAAAAATTTTGAATCAAACGTTATATGTCCTGAAAGGCGGCATCGCTACGACTAATTTGAGCCAAAAAAATTTTAAATCGGTCAAGCCGTTCTGGAGATACAAGCGGTCGAAAAGTGATAATTTTTATGAGAAATGAAGTAAAGTCTTCTTCTTCTCAATCCGCATTCAAGGCCGTATTATAACTTTGTAACGTCCTCTCTCCTCCCCTCCCCTGTCCCCACCACACCTCTCTTTCGCCGTATTTCACTCTTTCGTTATATATTTTTAATTCATTTTTTTTATATATATTTGTGATATATTTGTACTCTAAAAAGTAAGTGACATCTGAAAAAAATCATATAAAAATGAAAAGTTCAAGCCATGTTCAAAAAAAGATACTCAAAAATTTAAAACCTTTTTATCTAATAATATATTACCACGAGGGGGACAGCGGAAGGCGGAGGCGATTCGAAGATCGGCCGACAGTTACGTACATTTTATGTAGGTATATAAATTTTATTTCTTTATAGTACGATTTCTAATATTAACGATGGAGATTGGGGGGCCAACTTCACATTAGCTCCCCAATATTAAAAAATCGATTTTTTTCTTCATGCATTCGTTTGCTCACGATTGCTCAGTTGGAATTTTCGTTTGCTCACCCTTACTTCAAAAGATTGTGAGAAAACGAATGCATTAAGAAAAAAATCGATTTTTTAATTCGATACCAAAACTTAATTTTCTTGTATCTTTTGAACTAAGGGTGAGCAAACGAATGCATAAAGAAAAAAATCGATTTTTTAATATTGGGGGGCTAGTGTGAAGTTGGCCCTCCAAAACATAATTTTCGTATATCTTTTGAACTAAGAGTGAGCAAACAAAAATTACAACTGAGCAATCGTGAGCAAACGATGAGCAAACGAATGCATGAAGAAAAAAATCGATTTTTTAATATTGGGGGGCCAGTTTCACACGGGTCCATAAATCGTTAATTTTTTTTATTAATTATAAAATCTTATATGTTTTATCTTTACTCATACTAAGATTAAAAAATTTCTAAATAGTATAGATTACTGTTTTTAAAATCAGATTTCTGTATACTCTCATGATATTATAATACTAAATAATACAGTTATGATTAACGTATAAAGTATTTTATCACTAAGGTACTAAATGTTTTTAATCTAAGAAAAGAATAGGATCTAATTTTAAATGATATATTGCCTATATATTTAAATTACATATATTCGTGACAAGTCAATATATAATACAATGTATATACATTGCATTTTTTCGAATATGTACTTACTTGTAACAAATCGTATTAACGACACATTGACAATAATTACATTATGTCCATTGCCATTACCATTTTTTAGTACAGAGCGTCTTAGAACGAATAATACAATTCAAAAAGTTTCTCTTATAGAAATACGAAAATTATAAAATAAGTATTTCGTATTTTATCTGAGCTGAAAAAGAGAGACAAGAGAGAGTCTTTGAAAATTGAAAAATTAATATCTTCGTACTTTTTTAAGCTTAAATAATTTTTAATATATCATATATTGAATTCGTTTTGAAGGCACCTTTATAACATAAAAAATTATATTTCTATATTTATATACAATAAAGCCATTTAAAATGATATGTCATTGAAAGATTATATATAAATATTAGGATTTTTTTCTTCATGTATTAGAGTTTGTCGATTTCTCTCTCTCCATAACACAGTTCCAAATATTTAAAAAATCATCTCTCTAAAATTTAATCAAATGAAAAGAACACATGCTGACAGGTATGTGGTAACAAATTTGACAAAAAAGATTGTTTTTTTTTATATTTGAAACTGTTTTGATCGGCAAACAAATACATAAAAAAAATTTTTTGCCAAGTATAAAATAAGAGCCACCCTAATATATGTATATAGTAAAATCATTTTCTATTTTTTTTAAATGAAAGACTATATTAGTTAAAACACGTTTTACACGCAAAACGTGTTTTTTATTACGTATATTTCAATAAACATTCACGAAAGAAATTTGATGACGTATGATGCACACACTGTCATGAAAATAATTCGTGTTTAAAAAGGTGCAAAGGTTTAATTTTTAAATTTTCTACCTTTCTGTTAAAAAATTACCTTTATTTTATTGTATCATCAGTTCGGAGACATTAGATATCGAAAATATACGAAATAGATATTAATATGAAGTTATTAAAAGTTCCGGACGTAATGGATCAACATTTATCAGATTAAGATCATGATCTTTTGATCGAAAAAAATTATTATATTGTAAGGATATTTACATCTATTATTGGTATATATTCTTTAACACTATTTTAACTTTACCGTTATTATGTGAAATTTCAATATCGATATTAGTGTACAATTCTCACTTTTACAGTCTACGATTTCCCACGTACAGAATATTTTCCCAGGAAAGAAGGAAGAAAGGAAGGAGAAAGAAAAGGAAGAAAGATAAAAATTTACTATATTTTATGTAAAGAAAAAAATTACTTGTACTTAAAAAGATTGCAAAATCGACGCTGCAAGTAGTGTTAGTTTAAGATTTACTGCAAGGTTGAATGGTATAATTAAGCGGAGGTGGCGGGATTAGAAGAGGCAACGGAGTCGGTGGTGGTGGTGGAGCTTGAATAGATGTCAAAGTTGCAGTAGTAGTCTGTGATTGTTCAATTGCTCGAACCGTTGTGTTATAAATTGAAAGATAACTGGGCCAGAGATGAGGTGGCGGAGGAGAACCAGGGGGCGGCGGGGGTGGTGAACGATCGTCCATTTCGTCAGAGTCATCCATCATCATGGCTGTCAATGGAGTAATGCGTGGTTTTTTATCCAACTTGATTATCTTTACCTATAAAAATGTAGAGAAAAAAAATATATTATACATAATAATTGAAAAACATTTCTGAACACAAGCCTCTTTCTTTTTAAACAAGAGAGAAAGAGGAATAATAATTTAATAATCGCATACCTTGACCTTTTTCTTTGCCTTTAGTGGTTTCGTCCTTTTTTCCTGTTTTCTGCTCTTTCGAGAATTGTAAATTTTGTCCCTTCTCAAATCTCCCAGTCCTTCGCGGAAATCTATCCCCTTGGGTGGAGGGGGTGAAGGCATATCACCTTCGCCACCGCTAGGACTAGTTCCTTCACCAGGTTTCACACCATCAGCAAATTGAACTGACTTTTTGCTTCTCTTTGCTTTTTTCAGTTTTGCTAAATTTGATTTACCAGATTTGGTGTCAGATCGTATGTCTTTATCGTATTCATTATTCGTATCTATCTCTCCATCTTTGTCGTTACTGTCTTTTGCATTGTTATCCGTATCTGATAAATCCAAGTTACCATTGGGACTGAAAAAATCCGCTTATATATTTCATGCACAGTACATACAAACTGTATGAATATAATACATTAAATCTAACGGATCAGTTCTAAACTAAATCGTAAGGCTCGTAATTTGCCTTTGTAAAATAATATAAGAATTTATGACTGATATTGTAATTCTATGCGTACGTATTAGGTATACAAATTAATTCTCAGCCTAACTTTCAGCGACTTCAGAACCCGTTTAAGTTGAACTCCCCTCCCCCATCTGTAGTCATTTTGAAGTACCATCTTTTACCTTCAAAATGAGGTACAATACTTGATCCTCCTGTGAACATAACTTGAAAAATCAGTAAATACAATGTCGTTCAAAAAGCAACATTTGAGGCACTGCCTTCTTTTCGCGTTTCAATTTAAAAAAAAACGCGGCTGAAGCAAAAGAAATGATTTGTTCGGCTTTAGGCAAGAATGCTGTATCGTACAGTACGTGTAAAAAATGATTCCAACAGTTTCGAGAGGGAAATTTCGACTTTGAGGATCGTGAACGCCCTGGTCAACAAAAAAAAAAAAAACGAAAGACGTTGGAGTTGGAGGAAATTTTGAACGAATTCTTGCCAAACGCAATTAAAACTTGCAAATACGCTTGGAGTAACACAGCAAGATGTTTCCTATCGCTTAAAACAGCTAGGGAGGATTCGCAAGTCAAAGTTAGTCAAAAAAGGCCGAGAATTAATTTGTACACTTAATACATACAGCGCTTTTATAATCATTCTATCTCTTTAACTAATACGAATACGAAGCCTATAACAGTCTAGCTTGGATCTTAGATGCTTATGTATAATTTCGCGTGAATTTATATACTGATAGTTTCGAAAGACTACATATATCGCTTTCTTCTTGTTTTATATCTAATAAACGATAGATAAGGACAGAAAACAATATGAGCCAACACAAGTTCTTAGTGTATACATTTTATACAGTTTATTCGAAATGAAAATTAATTATTTGCAGATTTTAATATGTCATTCATTATTATTAAGATCAATCTAAGATGCGCAAAAAGCATCAAAAATTGTTAAATTGTCAATTTAACACATGATATTACTGCGGTAGTTTAATAGAGTTTGCGTTTCAAGTCTGAAAAAAATTCGGCGCGCAATTAAAAAATCTACATACGTAGTATATAAATTCATCCCCAATTATATGTATATTAGAAATATTCAAAATCCAGCTTGACCGTTACGGCCTGTTCTCATCAGTTTCTCATTGGTTTTTTTAAAATCTGTAATATTGTTTTAAAGAAATTTTAAGCAATATCGACAAACCTAAATCCTGGTACAACCAAAATGCCTTTTAATGGTGGAGGTGGCAACATCAACCATTCCTTCCTGGTATCATTTTCTGTCTGATCTTTAGTTGTAACAGTAGACGTTGTTATCGCTTCGTCAATTTCAATTCGCTGATTAATCATTTGTAATGGTTTCTCATCGTCACCATCATCCTCATCCTCATCCTCTACTTCTTCTTCCTCTTCCTCATCATCTTCCGCCTCGACCTCAATCTCGTCTTCATCTTCTTCTTCTTCTTCATCCACAGTGATATCTTCATCTTCTTCTTTAATAGATATTGTTGCCTCCTCTTCTTTTATAGGATTAACTAATGGAGATTCAGTTTGTTCATCTCCTTCTTTCAATGCTTTCAGGACTAATGAATCTACAATCGAACTCTTACGGTGATCTAATAATCCACTCATTTGTCGTGATGTTGTATTGTTCTTTTCCAATAATCGCAAAGCTCGTCGATTAGTCCGTTCTATCTTTCTACGTTCTTTCTCTTTCCTGCGTAACTCGCGTAATCGTTTACGCTCTTCTTGTTCCTTACGGCGTGTTTCGAGTATAGCTTCATAGTTATACACGGGTTGAATTATTTCTACAACATAGAGACGTTCGTCGTTGAATAATAAGATTTTTCGGATGGTAAGAATCATATCTAAAACAGACTTATATACGTACTTTGAGGCTGAATCTCGTTTCTTGGGAACGCTGCTACTGTCGCGGAGGGAATTGGAACCGGCACTGGAACAGGTACTGGCAATGATAGCGGCAGTGACGTAATAGATGACATAGTTACAACGGGGGCGAGAGTATTTGTCGTGGCCGGTAAGGTTGGTGGCACAGGTAATGGAACGGGAACGGGGACAGGTACTGACATGGGCGCCGAAGGTGAAGGTACCGGGACAGCTGAGGAATATAAAACTACATTTGATTGACCTATCGAAGATTGGCCGCCGCTGCTGCTGCCGCCGCCGCCGCTATTACTGCTGCTACTCCAATCTAATGACGTAGGTACTACTTGGAGAACGTTACCTACGCGAACCACTTGACTGGATCGTAAGGGCGGAGTCGTAACTGTAGCAGATACTTCGCGACGCGCTGATTGCACGCTATTGAAATCAGCAGGGACTACTTGTAGGACATTTCCAACCTTAATAATATAGAAAATTATATTTAATAAAAATTTATTCGTTTTAATAATTAACGAAAAACATAATATGTTAAATACTTGTACAACGGTAGTAGGCTGCTGTCTGTACATCATTTGTTGTTGTTGTGGAGGAGATGGATACGCAATAACATTAGGATTGAAATTTGTAGAATATTCTGAAGTTATACCAGTAGAGTCCTTGTTCTGTTGCTTTTTAATACCTAATTCTAATTCTAATCTGTAAACAATAATTAGACACGATATTTAAATCTTTTTATCTAATAATAATATATCAGTTACTTTTCATGGTATACATATTCAAGTCTTATAATTCAAAAAATAGGTAATGGAAAAATATTTAATTAAAAAATGTTTTGAAAAGCTCTTGAGATAAATTATAAGAAAATACAATAAAAAATGGGGGTTTCCATCTTAAAAACTCGATTTGATCTTGATTTAACTTGGCGACGCTATCCAAGGTCAAACTGATAAGATCAGTAAAAAGATCTCTTTAAACTCTATAATTTTTGTCTAACACATTTTTTGTAAAACTTATATTTCCGAGATATATTATAGGCGTTCCAGTACTTTTGACTTCCTGTATATATAGTGCTTATTATGATTAGTTATTAAACCTGGCGTCTATTCTTACCTATCGTCAAGAGATAAACGTTTCGGGGAGCTTGTAGATGATTCATCTATACAAGGAGGATAAGTCAAATTATTCTCTGTATAATAGTATTCATTTTCGCCTTCAATCTCATTTGAGTATTGGAAGTTTGTTGCATCCATATTACTATTGATACCCATTTCTGAATCTAAAATACTCGTTCCTGATATAATCCCCGAATGTATAATGGTCTCTATACGTCTACCCCTTTCGCCAGAAGTGCTGAACTTATTGTTTTCGTCATCGTTCTTTGTTTCCCTTCCTGTTTCGTTTAGTCTATCGCTTCCAGGTGAAGGAGATCTGCATTTAAAATTGACCACAGATTTAATCATAAATAAGGGATGCACCATGCAAATTGAATTAAATGTTACCTGGAAGATTGTAATTCCGACATTCTAAATAAATGTTCCGGGCTTTTTAATCTTGACATAGAAACAGATTTCACTCTCGATCTTGTATCGAACGGAGATCTGCTCCTCGATCTCGATTGCGATCTCATCCTGAGTCTTGATCTCGATGTCGATCTAGAATGTGATCCTGACCTCGATCTCGATCTCGATCGAGATTGGGATCTTAGTGGTGACCAAGAGCGCGATCTTGATTTTCGTCGAAATCGTTCTTGTCGTACAGGCGAATACCTCGATCGTTGTGTTCGATTTCGTATTCTGTGATCAGAATGACGATCTAAATTTGGAGAATCTATGTCCTTCCCCCATTCTCTTTTTACATTAGATCTGTTTCAATAAATAAAAAATATTAACTGCTTCGACTGTTTGTATGAATACAATTATACACTTAATATTTATGTTGAAATCCAAAAAGTATGTTTTATTGACGTTATATTCGTTGAACCTATTTAATATGTATAGAAATCTGTAAATACCTCCTCCTGTATTTTGACAATTGAGGCGAAGATTGTATCATATCCCTTTCCAGACTTCCCTCTCTATAATACGATCGATCATCATATTCAAGAGGCAAATCCTGTCCAGTGTACGAATCCATAGATTCGTTACCATCTCGTAAAATACTGTTGCTTTCATATTGCCACGTATGATCTAATTCTTCTATGTGAAACCTAAAGAATATTATTATAAGTTTATTATAAATATAATATATAATATCAAGTCAATCGGAAAGTTCCGTCCATCCAGCGGCGAGTATCTATAGCGGGAACTGTCGATAACTCTAATGTCTGAATCAAGCTTAATTTTTTAGTTTTAGTATCTGTACATAACATTGTTTCTTACTGCATCGAAAATATCGAAATTTGAGCCAAATAAACATCATTTGCGCGAAATGTTAATCTTTTGCTTCAAATGGAAGAAAACTGCAGCTGAAGCTCATCGAATGCTTGTAGAAGTTTATGGTGATAGTGCTTCTTCCGATAAAACATACAGAGAATAATGTAAAATAGGATAAGGGCAAAGAGCCAGTAATTCAAATTTAATAATAATAACAACAATATGTAAATAAAGTAATAAAGAAAATTTTATTTATTTATTTATTATATTAAAATTTTCTTTGTTACATTATTTACATATTGTTATTATTATTAAATTTAAACTACTGGCTCTTTGCCTTTATCCTATTTTACATTGTTTTATACATATAGAGCCTTATAATTTATTATTTATACAAAGAATAATTTCGACACTTTCGAAATGATAATTTTGATGTGAAGGACAAAGAGTGTTTTGGACGGCCAAAGGCATTTAAAGAATTGCAGGCATTGGTGGATGAAGACTCATGTCAAACGTAAAAATAACTTGTAGAAGCATTAAATTGTGCTCAATCTGTTATTTCCGATCGTTTAAAAGCCTTAGGAAAGGTCTGCAAAGAAGGAAAATGGGTCCCATATGAACTGGAGCCAATAGACATTGAAAGGCGAAAAACCACCTGTGAAATTCTGTTTGCTAGGTAACAAAGAAAGAGGATTTTTGCATTGAATTGTGACTGGTGATAAAAAATGGATCTATTTCGATAATCCCAAATGCTGAAAAACCATTTGCGATCCAGATCAACCATCGACATCGACGCCAAAACGCAATATTCATGGGAAGAAGGCCATGCTCTGTATTTGGTGGGAAGGATGTAGTGTATCATGAGTTGTTGAAATCTGGTCATAGAGGATCTTTACCGAGAACAAATAATCCGTTTGAGCCGAGCATTGCGCGAAAAACGACCAGAATATGAGACAAGACAGCATAAAATGATTTTACTTCAAAATAACGATCGATCTCATGTCACTAAGGCTGTTAAGGAAACATTGGAAGCACTTTACTGGGAAGTGCTACCTCATGCTTATTCATCAGACTGTGCCCCTTCCGACTACCACTTCTTTCGGTCGATGGTACACGCACTTGCTGAGAAACGCTTCAATTCTTATGAAGACGTCGAAAAATGGGTTTCTGACTGGATAGCCTTCAAAGATGAGTTATTCTTTCGCCGCGGAATTCGCTTGCTGTCCGAAAGATGGGAAAAAGTCATTGCTACTGATGGACAATATTTTGATTGATGTACTTTTTCATTTTGTTTCTTAAATAAAATCACTTTTTGCACAAAACGGACGGAACATTCTGATTGATTTAATATTAAAGAATTTAGTTAAATACTCTATATGTCATCACCATAACAAATTATTAGTAAATATAGGTATATGAAAAATTCATACACATATAAAAGTCAAGTGGATATTTTATACCTATTGTCTCGATATTTTTCAGATTCCATTGTTCTTTCCCTCAAAATATCTATTGGGTCATACAATCTAGTATCTTTCTCATGATCCATATTGTCATGTCTTCTCCTACCCCAATCATTACGATTGTCCTTAGAAGATGCAATGCCGTGTTTTTTAAAGTTATCTGTAAATAGATTAATGTTTAAATATTTATATAATATAAAGCAAAACTATTTATTTAGAGAATAATAATTATAACTTTTTTTACCCTCATAACCAAAGCGTAATGGAGATCGCGTGTATCTTTCTTTTCTTTCATCCGTTCTCATTTTACATGATCGCTCATCGTCGTATTTTTCTCTTTTTTTATCTTTATCTTTATCTCGCGTACTGACAACAGAGTCGTCCTTCCTCTTTGGACTTTTACTACGACTTCTACTCCAACTATGACCAGAACTTCTACTTCCGCTCCCTTGACGTTCCCATGAGACATAGGGACTTCGGCTCTTTTTTCTTCTTCCTCGTGCCAAAGGGCTAAACCTTCTCCTATCTGCAAAATCTGCTTTGGAACTTCTACTATCCCTTCTGTCAGGCTTGTCTACATCTGCAGATGTTCTTTCAGATTTCTTTTCCTTCTTGTCTTTATCATGCGAATATCGTTTTTCACTTTCTTTCTTGCTAGGACTTCTCTTTCTGTGTTCCCAGACAGGAGATCGTATATTCGATGAAGCACTAATTTCATTTAGATTACGATTAGTTTTATATCTCTTCACATCATCGTTCTTGTTTTCTCTGTCGTAGTGTTCAGATTGTTCAGATCGAACAGAAATCGAACAGAGATCTTTTTCCAATGTCGGGGATCTCGATCGTCGTATCGCTATTACTGACGCTTTGGAAACCACGGAAAATTCAGTTGTATCTAGTAATGTATTATCAGTTCTACTGTTACTCACTACTGTATCTCTATTACTATATTTCTGTTCAAAATGATCTATCTGTTTTTGGTTCGGATATTCTTTGATATCATTCTTCAATGCGTGTGACTCTAATAATTTTTTTTGTATTGTCAATAAGGCTGCTGCATGTTGAGCAGGATCCTGTAATGGTGTTTCCAAAATACGTTTTGATTTTACTTGTTCGTTAGTACGACGAATCAAGAGTTGCTTAGGGATAAGTTTAAGTGCATTCTTTCCTTCATTCACCTCATCATCTTTTGTATGCGTTGCTGAGTTCACATTGGAATTTGTAGCATGCTGCTTATCACATGACTTCTCTGATCCATACTCTGCAAAAATATCTATATGTTCAGGGGTATGTATTTTTAAGCACGATTCATTTATTGAAATGTTATCAAATAAATTATCAGTTGTTTTAATGTCAAAATTATGAGTAGAATCTCTATCCTCCAATTGCATTTTGTTTAAAATACTTTCTGTCTTTTCACTTGACATATGTTTAGTATCACGTTTTATTAATTGCAAAGGTATTCCAGACATGGGAACTAATAGTTCATCTGCTGTAATTAACACTTCTTTCTTTCTTTTTTCACGGAGTAGAGAATTAGAACTGTTTTCATTAGATATTTCTGCATCCTGCAAAACAAAAGAAATAATTATTTAAATAAAAGATTTACGCGTGCGTACGTGTGTGTTTTATTTTAATTGCCCCAGGCAAATCTCAAAAAATATGATACGAATGAGATAAGCTATAAAAAAATAAAATGAAAAATGGGAGGTCCCATTTAAGAAATTAAAAGTGACATTTATGTGACTTTCATACAATTATTCAAGATCAAATTAATGGTACCATCTTATGTTCCCCTCGAAACCATACAACTTTTGTCTGAAACATTTTTTCGTATCTTTCATATTTTTCGAGATATTTGTCTAGAGGGATTAATAAAACACACAATATATATATATATATATACTGAATATAAAATATATTAATAATATATCGAATAAAAACTATCTAAGAAATATATATGGGCTAATGTTATTTCAAAAACAATACAAAAAATTTAAGTAAATACAAAAGGCTATTAAGAGTCAACGCTGTTAGCAGTGCGTAAAAATATAATCTTAAAATCTATAACATAGATATTATGTCGAACGTTTCGATCCTTCGTTTCGGATCATCATCAGCGACAATACAATATAAAATTAAAAATTACTCAGAGTTGCAAACAATGATGTTGTCCCGTAGTATGTAATATACAACTAATCTGAAGCAAGACTATCACTTCTTCAGATTATATTTTTACGCACTGCTAACAGCGTTGACTCTTAATAGCCTTTTGTATTTACTTAAATTTTTTGTATTGTTTTTGAAACATATAAGAGTCTATAATTCAATTATATTATTAATTTATTAATTTTCTAATGTTATTTGTTTTGTTTCAAATAGGCAATCTAAAAAGAATAATAGCCCAAAAAATTATATTAAAATTATATTTAATTAATAAGGATTTGATCAATATTATGTCATTTTTTCAATGTCCTTTTTAATTCAAAATATTAAATTTTCTAGGACCGTACATGTGAGAAACACAACCAATAAGAAATTACTTTTAACGGTCGAGCTGGATCTTAGATGCTATTATAATTCCGTGTGAATTTATATACTACGTATATGGTATGTCTTTTATACATATATCTTTTAAATTGCGCACCAAACAATTTTTCGGTCTTGAAACACAACTCTACGAAACTACCGCAATAATATCACGAATTAAATTGTTCTAACAAATTAAATATATTGTAATATAAAATTCATTGATTCAGCATTTAAAATATTAAAAGATGTTAAAGTGAAAATACAAAATTTCAGACAACTATTAACTTGATCTGTTTTTATAACTGAACTAATATATATTTTTTGAACTTAAATGAAATAGAATTATTATATTTGAATTTTAATGAAAACAAGAAAAATTGTAGAAAAGAAATTTTCCATTTTAAAACAGCCACTTTTATATCATCATAAAAAAATCGATTTATAAAATTATTTTACAATTATTTGTGTCCTACAATTTTGTCATACAATTTTTGCCTAAAACATTTTTCCGTATCTTTTATATTTTCCTACATATTTTGACGTGAAAGTTATAATAAAACATCCTATGCATACAATAATTAAATTTAGTCAAACTTCACAAGTATGTAGAGTTATTTCCATTCAGGTTGCTTTATACATTTATAAAGGATCACTTTTTTATAGGATAGATAAAAATACCTACCTTTTGAGAAAGTGCTGGGGAACTAGGACTGTATAGTTCTACTTTATAGGTCTTCTCTTTCAATTTTACATCTGTTTCCGAAATTTCTTTAAATTTATCTCTAGATTGCTCCTTGATGGATACAAACTGTTCTTCACTTGTTTTCGCAAAAGTTGATTGTTTTATTAATACATCTTTCTTTGCTTGTATAGGTCTGATCGCCACTTCATCTGATGCCCATGATCTTTCCAATGATTCTCTACTTTGTGATTTTCTGTGATAGAAATCTGTCAGCTCTGATTTATTAGAACTTTCCGAATAATCCACAAGACAAGGTTCTCCTTTCTTTGTTTCTTCAAATTCTTGCTCACACTTACTTTTGGACCATTCGACATATTCTTCCTCCCACATATTTTTAGCTTCCGATTTTTCTTCAGATTGAGAACCTATGTCCCAACGACTTTTTTTAACTCGTTTATTTGACTTCATAGTTAACTTATTCGTATCTTTCTTGATATCTTTCTTTTCTTCTGTTGTAGCCCACTCTTTCTGTATTGCAGCAATATCATTAACTTTACAAACTTCCATTTCTTTGGTAGTCTTACAAAACAGAGATTTTTCTTCTATATCCCAATCATTTGTTTTATTCTTTTGTTCCAGGAGCATCATTTCTTCTCTTTCACCTTCTTCTTGCTCCTCTTCCCATATTCTTATTGCATATAGACGTTCTTGCTTTTTTTTCATTTCTCTTACGCCTTCTTTTTCTATTGCAATGTAGGTATCTGTCTTTTTATCATATTTCACTTCTTTCTCTGTTTTTTTTAATAAACTCTGATTATGTTTTCGTTTACTCATGTTTAGATCTGATATTGCTTCTAAACTATCCACTTCCCACTCATCTGCCAGAAGTTGCTTTTGATGCACCTCTTTTTCAAGTTGTGTCAGAGATGGCACATTTAATGTATCAAAATCTGTTTCCCCCCATTTCTCCTTTTTCTGTTTCCCTAATTTTTTTAAATACTTATCTTCGTTTTGTATTCGTTGAGTGATACGCTCACTTTCCCGTTCCCAGTTTGCAAGAAACTCACCGCTACTTTTAATATCTTTTTCTTTTCTTTTCTTTCTCTTTGCTTCAATTTCCTCATCTGATCTTACTTTTCCTTCATAAATTCTTTCTTCATTGGCTTTAGCTTTGTCTTGGTCAATATTATCTCGACTGTGCTTTCTTTTTCTTCGATATTTATTCTTCTCTAAGCCATCCATCTTTTCCAATTCTTCACCATGATCTTGACTTGAGGTTTCACCATCATTTTGTTGCTTTGTCATAGAATCCATTTCCCATTGTTCCATGAAACTTTCGTCAGACTTATCTTCTTTTCTTTCCTTTCTCTGTTTTAAACATTCATTGTCACGTACACTCATATCAATAATAGTACTGTTCGTTGACATAACCTCGTCAATCTTCTTTTTATCTTCACCTGCTACTTCTTCTTTTATCTTCCTTATTGGAGTCATTGACTGCAATATCTTTGTTCCATCCGATGAAGCTATTACAGGAGATTTCGATATTATCTTTCTTATATTTCCATTAATAGATTTTGTGTCCATTGTTTTCTTCTTATTCCTTTTCTTCTTTTTTGTACATTCATCTAAATCACTGCTATTAGAATCCGTGCTCATTTTTCTCTTTCGCTTTTTTTTTATTCGAGCAATGCGTTTCACCTTTTTCCTTTTTTTTCCAATTCTCTTTTTCTTCCGTTTTCTTTTTCTTCTTTCTTCCGAACTACTAGAGTCACTACTGCTAGTACTATCTGTACTATCAGAATCGGAAGACGATGAATTACTTGGTACTTTCCGTTTGCGTTTCCTTTTTTTCTTTTGTTTTTCTGAATCCGAAGAGGTAATAGTACTAGATGAGTCACTGCTGGATATTTTCTTTTTCTTCTTTTTTTTTACTTCTCTCAATTCAGTATTCTCATCACTCAATCGTTCAACTTTGATTCTAACATTCTCCCAATCACTTGGAATTGATTTGGAATCCTGAGATTCATCATTTTCGTTTGTATATTCAATTTGTTCAATATTTTCATTAGCTTGTATTTGACAGTCTGTTGATACAGTAAACTCCTCACATTCTGTACTCTTTGTCGATTCTTCTAGAGTTTCTAGATTATTTTTTTCTTCAAATTCCTCTTTTAATGGTATTTCTATATTATCTTCAGCTAAATTAGATTCTATATTGAATTCATGATAACTATATGGAGAAGTAGATTTAACAGGATTTTTCTTTGGAGAATATTTTTTAGTTCCATCAGTTGCAGTACACACCATCTTCATAAATTGTTCATATTCAGAAGCTAGCTTCTCATTTCCAGTAGGCTGTAGCAAAGAAGACGTAGAAGATTCATTAATCGTTTCGTTTTCGATCTTTTCACTAGATTTAATATCTTCTTTAATGTCTTCAACATTGTTATCAATTTTGCCTTCATCCGTTATACTAGACGTTGTAGAACATCTCTCTTCTTTTAAAACAGAAGATGAATTATTATCACAATGCTTTTAACATCCACGTTATATGCGTTATCATTATTATTAAAAATCACTTACGTTGATTTATGGAAATATGTAGTTTGTTTACTGATTTTTCAATTTCTTCTTTTGTTACATTGATAGACGATATTTCCTCATCTTCACTATCCCATTTTGACTTAGGAAGCTGTATAGTCATATGCCACCTGGTATCTTTATGATAGTTAATCGTATTTATTTGTCGATACCAATTACGCTTTTGCTGTACTGTGTCTTCTGTATCAATCCTGCAATTACAAAGATATGGATAGATAAAGAAAGATTTGGATACAAAGAATATTATGATATACCGTGGTAAAGACGCTTCACAAATGTCTCGTATCTTCTCACGACGTTCCGGAGTAACAGCTTGTAAAAGTTGCGAAATACCCAACAATAGAGATGTACGCGGATTTTCACAATATAATAACTGAAGTCCTCTTGCTCGTTTCGTCAACTTAATCGATTCAGGTGGATACTTTTTGGGTCCATCAAGTCCCTCGGCTATTAATGCTTGACGTTTTAGACGGTGATTACTTAACATTAACATTTGTTCAAAATAACGTGTATAATCTTGCGTAGTCCTAAAACACATTACACATAAACATGCTTAATATGCAACTATATACAGGGTGTCCGTCCATAAATTCCGAGCGAACTGTTTGAAGTTACAAGAAAGTTTAATAAGAGAAATTTGATTCCGAGTTAGTTACAAAGTGTACATAAAAAATTTTTTACTAGATATAACTTTGTTTCCGAATGCTCCCTACTATACAAATATACAAAAAAATTATAGATATCCATTTTTAAAAATTATGTTAATTTACATAACTCAAAAAAGCCACGAATAGAAAAATTTTTTTACGTGCACTTTGTAGTTGATTCGGAGTCTTTCAAATTTCTCTTATTAAACTTTCTTGTAAATTCAAATTTTAGCAGTTGCGAGATATTTGCTCGGACATTTATGAACGAACACCCAGTGTGTGTATATATATATTCACTTTTATATATATATATATATAAGATTCAAACTTTTTACTTAAAAAGTGAATGGATGAATGAACCAAAATGCATCATGGTATTTTAACATTACATGTTCACAACTAAATTTCTTTTGTATTAAATTTATTTCTGCGCTCCGACAACAAAAATAATTAATTACTTTTCAAACTTAACTAAAAAAATTGTTACAAACCTGATTTTTACAGGTCGTTCTGAATTATTACGTCTTCTAAGATGAATGACATCATCAAAACTTAAACCAGATTTTCGCACTTCCGCCCATGAGTTACTTTTTAATAATACCTTTTCTTTCCATTTGTCTTTGTCTTTTTTATCTTTGTTTTCTACTTCCATTTCCGACATATCAGTTCGTCTTTCTTTTATATTTTCTTTCTTATTCTTTGTTGTTTCAGTTTTTTCTTTTGTCTCTTCTTCTTTTTCTTTTACCTCTTTTTTATCCTTTTCTTCTTTCTTGTCACGATTTGTATCTGTTTTGCTATTACTTTGTTTTTCTTTATCGTTTTTCTTTTTCTTATCTTTCTTATGCTTTCCTCTATTCTGAGATAATTTTTGTGTAAAACGTTCAATACTTCCACTTCGATTTTTAACATCCTGATTTGAACTATCTTTATTAATTTTGTCATGATGTCGAGGCCTTATAAAAATAATTATCTTTATTTAATAATTATTAGAGTATAGAAAATAATAGAGAGAATATATAGATTTTACATGTATATAAAAAATAGAAAAGTATATTAATATAAAAAATATTACCTTTCTGAATATTTTCGATCCACTGATCTACTTTTACGATCACTTTTTATTTCCTCATGTTTAGTTTTCTCTCTCATATGTTTTTTACTTTTGAGTAAACTAGATATATTCTTACCAGTATGATTTTCGTCTTCTATACTTGCTATAAAAAAGATTTTATCATTAAACGTTAGATTTAGAAACATAAATATTGGAAGTACAAATTAGTTCGGTTCGTTTTCCAAAAGATGATCGCCTCCAAAGACGAGTCATTTTTTGAGATGGAATTCGAAAATTATCTGAGAGATGGGAAAAAGTAGTAGCCAGCGATGAACAATACTTTAATTAATCTCTTCATTTGTTTTGAAATAATTGCATTTTTGAACACAAAAAGCGGACCGAACTAATTTGTACACCTAATATATGAAGACAATACCTGCAGCTCTAGCTTCTGCAAGTAACATTTTACTTTTAGATTCCTCTCTTCGAATTTCTTCAATAGCCAGAATTTTTTCCTCTATAAAATTTTAATTTTACAATTATACTCATGATATTTCATAAAAGAAAATATTTGATAAAGTCACAATAATTAATTAAGTATAATATTATTGACTATTCAGAGTTAAACTCTTTTTTTCAATACACAAATTAAGTACAAATATATCTTTGATAATATATAATATCTTTGATAAATTCGAAATTTTTGTATCAAATATATATTTGTACATAATTTACGCACTGAAAACAGTGTTTGACTCTGTGTATAGCCATTAATATTATACTTCATTAATTATTGTGATTTTGTTTTAATCATAAAGGAGTCTTTAATTCAATTAAATTTTGATTATTGTTATTCATTTGATAAAGTGCCAAAATAGTAATACAAAAATATTTGGAAACCCAATGCATAATGGTGTGCATAAAATATAATACACTACTCAACAAAATCGAAACATCACTTGTTCCACCTGCAAAGATAGACAAACTTTGAGATAAAATAACTTTGTCAGAAATCATTGTATCAAGATGTTTAAAAAAACATTTTAAAGCTGAAATCTGACTTTTTGGACCGGTACTTTAAAAAAAAAAAAAACGATATTACTGATATTTCGTGAAGTTACATAAACATAAATGAAGATGCATCAAACCTTAAAAATGTTTACAAAATTTGTTAAGTTCCACGGTGCGGACTAAAAATTGTGCACAAATGCGATTTACAGCGCTTTCGAAAGACTGAATTTTTACCTTTAATTAGTTTTTTTTTCTAACTTTTGCATGATTTTTTTTTTGTTTATTCAATGTTGAAGCAAAAGAGGTCTTGCTTACGTTGAATAACTCGATAAAAAAAAATCGAATAAAAGTTAGAAAAAAAGCAAATTAAAAGTAAAGCTTCAGTTCTTCGGAAGCTGTAAACCGCATTTGTGCATAATTTTTAGTTTGCGCTGTGGAACTTCTTAAATTTCGTAAAAAGTTTTGAGATTTGACGCATCTTCATTTGTTTATGTGACTTTACGAAATATTAGTAAAATTGGTTTTTTGAAGTACCTGTCTGAAAAGTAGAGATTTTTCAAGCTCTAAAATGCTTCTTTAAACATCTCAATGCAATGATTTTGACGATGTAATTTTATCTTGAAATTTACCTATTTTTGCAGAGTGGTACAAGTGATGCTTTAATTTTATTGAGTAATGTATATACTTTTACGAATAACAGGAATCTAAATTTTAATCTGTTATCATATTTTGCAGTGAAAATAAAAGTTCTTGTAATTTATGTCATTAGGTAAGAAAGTACAATACATTCCAAATTTCACATTACGACATGTTCTTATGAGTTTCAATTCCAAATTTGTCGAATGCACAATAATTGCAGTTTACAATATAACGGTATGTAATTACATACCGTTATATCCAACAAAAATACAATAATTTAAAAAATACAATAATTTTATAATGAAATATATCACCTGTCTTCTTTCTTGATTTATTTATATCATCCTGAACACTTTTATCCTTTGTCTTTAAAGCTCCAGTAGAATGATAAGACAAATTTGGCTTAACCTGGGATTTAGGCAATACTTTGAACTGATTAGCAAATGCCATTAATCGTTTCTTTGCTTGAAGTTTTCCAAGTACTGGTTTCACTGGTTTTGGACTCTCCAGTCTTGATGTATCACCATCGCTTGTTTGACCTCTAGTACTATCTGGTGTTTCTGGCATTTGTATGTCCAACAAGGAGATAGAGATATCTGGATTTGGTTCTTCCAGAATATCTTTTGATTGAGAAGCATCTGTGTCATTTTTTTCTAATATATATCACATAAAATAGTTATTTATCAAAGAATTAAATCTAATAAAATCCTGTAACAATAAAAAATAAATGAAACATGTTTTCTACCTGAAACAAATGATATCCTTTCTTCTTCTGCCATTGATAGCTTTGATATCTTCCAAAATTTTAGTTATCTAAAAATCATATTTATAAATAAAACTTACAAACATAAAAAATAATAGCCAGGGCTGAATAAAACATATGTATTTTATATTTATGGCACAAAATACATAATACTATCAATCTTAGTAACTATTCTAAATGAACTATATTACTGATATAGTTTATTTAGAATAGTTACCTACTAAGTTTTATAATATTATATATTTTGTATTACAAATACATAAAAAGTACATGTATTTTGTCCAACACTATTAATAGTATTATTTAAAAAATGACATCCAGTAGTAAAATTTTACACTATTCTAAAATATTACAAAGATTAAAAATAATATCAAGAAACATTGTTAAAATCAGTGCTGTGTAAATGTATAGTATGGATTATAGAATCTAAATAGGCAATGTATATAGTCATGTTACACAATTGAATTGTCCACTTACTATACAAAACAAATAAAAATTATTCCTCTGTAACTATGAAAAACAATTATAGAAAAGCAATTACAGGAAAATTTTAAGGTAATTATAAAAAAGGTTCCAGTATGTTTAATACGGATTTGTTTGTATAAATCTAATGTAGCAAGTGTGAATAGATAAATTACTTGAAAAAATATCACAATAAGAGGATGCGTGCAATTTCTTATCACCTACTAATATGATATTTACTGTGATTTACAATTCAAATTATTAATATTCACGATAAAATCAGCGATATCGATATCAATTTGTGAATTAAAATACGGACATACAATCGTTGCATAAACGTATCTGATCCGAACAGTCCCTACTTCTATTGAAGTTAAACGAAACTAGTACGTGAAACACAGCGGACATATTGTTCTTAACCATGAAATATAAAGGCCGTAGCACACACTTTTGCATGACGCATTATGCCTGGTTTATGCTTCAGGTCTTAATCCTAAAATCCTAAAATTCAACCAATAAAGCTGCCAGTTCTAACCGAAATTTGAACTCTATTGGCTGAATTTTAGGATTAAGCCCTTAAGACCGAAGCATAAACCAGGCATTAGATTTTTTATGTGCAGCACGCTGCGGCAACAAAATGTCATGTGATACAAATTTTCGAGAACTGATTGGAACCAATCAAAACGCTTCTCTTCCGTCAAGTGGGAGAAAAAGAAGGATTAGGGTTGATTTATACTCATTTATACCGTAAAATGTTAACTTATGCCGTAATCTGTAAAAATTGACCAATCACAGTCGAATAAAAGAGGAATAATCGACTATGATTCGTCCATTCCTTATGGCTTAAGATGGTCATATGCCCATTTCCACCAAAGTTAATCTGCATTGGTAGAAATAGGCAATAGGGAAGATTCGACCAAAAAATCATGGACATAGGGAAGATTCGAACCAAAAATCGTGGATATTACCGACACGATCGTGGACATTGGCTACATAGTTCAATGTCCACGTTTTGTGGACATAGAGGCGCTTCAAAATAAAGTAAGAGCCCCAACATAGACTTTTGCATAACGCATAAAGCGTGTGCATAAGGAATTTTTTCATTGGCCCATTTTCTTATGCATGAGTCAATGGACCAATCAAATTCTTTATGTATATGGTTTATGCGTTATGCAAAAGTCTGTGCTCCCCGCTTAACAGTAGAGATCCTTCTCGAAGGCTTCTCTCTGGTTTTTTGGTGTGAGCAATTGTGAGGTTGTTGGTTGGTTTGGGATTTTGGGAGTTGGTTTCATCGGTTTATGGACTATGGTACATACACTTTTGACGCATTATATTACATCGACCTCATCGTTTATCCACTCACTTATAAATTTCTGGACGTATTGATCTACTGATCTATGGAGACAAAAGCCATTAAGTAAAGAAGAAAAAGAGACGCCTAAACATCTAGAAAGAAAAGGGTAAGGTTAAGCATAAGTAACCCAACTTCGTGTCGGTTTTTTGTCCCTGCACTGTGAAGTGAAACAAATTATACGTTTGTTTCATTTTAACTTATTGCACCGTGTGCACTGGTTTAGACAGTGTAGGAATAAAAAACAGATCCATTTATTATCTGAGATTTTCTTACAAGAGAGGAAATTGATTTATTCTATCTATTACAAATCTAATTCCAGATAGACGCGAACATATATAAATAAAAAATATTTTTGTTTCGTCAACAACCAGCTTGCAGATATGGATGATAAACTTCGGCAAATGGAAGATGAGATGAATAGGTATGATGAGTTATCTTTACCTCTTGGATTTTATCGTATATTTAATTGATTATAATACTAGTTATAATACTCAGAGTTACATTTAGAGATACATCTATAATATGCAGAGTATATAATCAAATGTGATTTTCAACCAAACCTTATTTATGTTTTGGTAATTATTTAGAATATCCTAATATAAAAAACACTCGTTTGACATGTTTTAATTCAAAATGGAAGAATCTGGTAAGTAAAATATGGCAATCGGCCTCGTGAACCGAGATACTAATTGTAAGCATTAAGGAGCTTACAGACCAGAGCGGCGCAGCGGTGAAGCGGCGAGCGATAGCCAATGAGAGCCATGCTTTTGTGTAAAAGCATGGCTCTCATTGGCTATCGCTCACCGCTTTGCCGCTCTGGTCTGTAGGCTCCTTTAAAGTTCAAGATTTTAGAGTATAAGATATCTGTCATCTTAACTCGATGCAGTGCTATGTATACATAAGATCTGTTCTCTTTTACGAAAAATTACGAACTAGTTCTGAAATAATGTAATACAGCGCTCTCTCTCTCCCTCCCCTCTCTCTTTCTCTAAATTATTGCACCACTTATTGCACTCCTAAAAATAAATATTCTCTATTTTAGTTACACAAATTCTTGGCTTTATAAACACAAATTCACTGCTTTCAAAATTAATACAAATTCAATGCTTTAAAAACATGAAATTACTGCCTTGAGAACACAAAAGCACTACTTTAGAAACACAAATTTACTGTTTTATACGCTCAAATTTTTTGCATTAGCAGTGAATTTGTACCTTTAAAGCAGTAAATTTTTGTTTTTAAAGCAGTAATTCTTCGATCTAATCAATAGTAGTAAGCGGTCATGGATTCGCTTTGCACAGTTAAGTCAAGTTTGCTGAATGCAATCATTTATTTTGGTTGACAGATATCTTAATCTCTAAAATCTCGAACTTTAATGCTTATTCTACAATGAGTCTGTAGTTGTAAGTCTTAATTTTAATCGGTTAGTTAACCAATCAGCGTTAGTCGTACAAGTTGATTATTGGTCAACTTTATCGATAAGACTTATGAGCCTTCTACAATAAGCCATAGGTCATAAATTATAAATCATAAAAGCTAGAAATGAACCAATCACAATCATCAATTTTAAGTTTCTTACTTCTGATTTATGACTTATTGTAGGCTTAGTAGGCTGGGTCCACAACCTTGCTTTAAGAGGTCCTAAGCTGAAAGCTGTAAAAAATTGACCTATCAAACAGTCGATTATTTTTCTCGCATTCACCTGTGATTGATCAATTTCTTATGGCTTTATGTTTAATATCTCGGTTCACGAGGCCAACCGCTGCATTTTTTACCAGATTCTTTCATTTTGAGTGAAAAAATATTGAATGAGTGCATTTTTATTAAGATTTTAAGTGGGGGGGGGGGGTATTCTAAATAATTACCTTTGTTTTTTTGTACCTTTTAAATGTATTCTGTATATGACTTTGATACAGTAGTATACAACAAATTATATAATGATATATTTAGAGAAAATGAAGGATGTGATTAAAAGTTATCTTATTTATTTCAGTTTTTTAATTTATTAAATATAAATTTCAGATTTGAGGCTGAGATTGGAGGACAACTTGTAACACCAATTGTAAGACCAGTAATAGGTGCAAACACATATAATCAGGTCGCTAGACAATTGGAACAACATGAACTTACTACACCAGTAGTTGCAGCAGCAGCAGCAGCAACATTAGCATTTCCTCCAATGATTGGGTTTCCACCACCACCACCACCTCCACCTCCTCCCCCACCACCACCGATGTTAATTCCTCAGCAAGTAACACGACAAGGTAAGATTGATACTTTTGTGTTGTATTTAAAAATAATATAACAGAATTTGTTTCACAAGTTTGTGACAAATTTTACAGGTTCAGTTCCTATTACAACGTACTCCTCACCTGCACAAATAAGCAATCCTTACATATCAAATATGGTGGATCCATGTTTAAGTGCAACACCAAAAACATATGATTCTGTCTCAACGCCAATGATCCATCCAGAAATTATCGAACAAATTATTAATACGAAGATTCCTGAAGATGAGGGTAAAAAGAAGCCAAAGGTCAAAGGTGTCAGTACAGCAGCTGAATTGGCTATCAGTCAAGGAAAAGCAAGCTCCATTATGGCTAACGCTAGCGCAGAAGAGAGTCATCCCAAGGGTAAAGGGAAAAAAAATAAGAAAATTATAAGGACTGCTGGTGGGCAAACCTGGGAAGATACTTCATTATTAGAATGGGATGAAGGTTAGTAATGAATATGTTTGCTAAGTGATACAATTAGGTTTCTCTTGTAAAAAAAATTATATAACAGTATTCTGTATCTTGTCTAGATGATTTTAGGATATTTTGCGGAGATCTGGGGAATGATGTTACTGATGAAATGCTGGTGAGAGTATTTGGAAAGTATCCTAGTTTTCAAAAAGCAAAGGTGGTTAGAGATAAACGGACAAATAAAACCAAAGGCTTCGGATTTGTGTCCTTTAAAGATCCACAAGATTTTATCAAGGCAATGAAGGAAATGAATGGTGAGTCGGATATTTATTTTTTTACAATAAATATAGAACAAAAAATATTTCGATTATAACATTGATATTTTTTATACTTTTGGAGTATTATTGTTCGCTTAACGTAATATTATACTTTAAAATAAGAGACTTAAACAATGACTTAATAATAATAATAAATAATAAATGAAAAGGAGCATACAATCAATGGTTGCGTTCAGCAGAGAATGCCGCTTTGCAACTGTTGTAAAATTCTTGAATACGGTTGGTTCTTGCTTTCGATTCCTTATGGATCTAAATGTATAAACCAATCATACTGAAGAATTTTACATCAGTTGCAAAGCTGTTTTCTTTGCTGAATGCATTTAATGTTAATCTACTTTAAATAGAAAATATGTATAATATTATTATATCTTAAAGAAAATATTGTATAAAGAAATAAATGTGAGTTACAATTTTAAATATTAAAATGCATTATAGTTGCAATAAAATTTGACAATTTGTTTTGCATTTGTTAGCTATTTCTATTGTGAAAATTAATTTCTTTCTCATTTTTCTTTATGTCGATATGTCTGTCATTATATCACACATCAGCGTTACTTGTTTTTATTTTCCCCAGCCGTATGATATAAACAGCTGTGGTATGGTCCAATACTGTTTTCTTGGTTGTATGGTAGATTGACCATTTCGTGAACCAATACGCGAATTCGGATGTTCTGCGAAAGATGTCAAACTCTCGGTTGTTACACTCGATTCTTGTCGTTGAGTCGCTATTAATATATTAATACATATATATTACTTATGTTTCTAGAAACAAAGGAAACTCTGTTTCTTTTTTCTATGTTAGTGGCTGCGGTCCATTTGGCGTTAAATGCTTCGAAGTTTTTGATTGACCAATCGGAAAAAAGAATTTTATTCATTGGTCAAAAAATGCTTCGAAGCATTTGTAACATCAAGTGGAGCCAGTATTGTATTAATACTTACTCGATGTTGTAACAGCATGATTTGATCGTGGACTCATATATAAAACAGAGAAAGGCATGCCGCCGGCACCCCAATTACGAGATACGAATACATCTTTTTTTGTGATTTTAATAGGCATCTGCTTGTTTGTTGACAAAGATGCTCGAATCTCCCGTCCCGGTTCTTGCGTATTATCTAACGTATTATCTTTCCATGATCTCAACATAAATTCAGATACCGGGGTTGCTACTTGGCGCCGAGATTGCAATCTATCAGACACAAGAAAATATTCAATTCAAAGATTAATTACAAAGAGGATGTTAAAAAAATTATTTTGCGATAAGTTTTTCTTTAAATAGAAACTTTGATTGTTATAAAAATATGTTTTGTAAAAGTTTCTTGTAAAAACTTTGTAAACATTTTTCTAAGAATTTTTCTCAGAGATTATTATTTTCTGTATAATGAATTTAATCATTTTTTTATAATTTCTATATAATTTTATAACTTAAAAAAATTTTTTTAGATTTTTATTGGAACATTAGAGGTTTGAACACAAAAATATATCATATATGTATATATGTATATTTTTTTTTATAAGTAGGGATGTTTCAAAGATTTTAAGGTCAACTTTTTAAAGTAAAATTGTATAATATTTTTACATTAATATGATGTTTTAAATTATTCTGTATATAAAAGTATGGACGTTTATATAAAAATAGGAGTTTCTGGATTAGGTTGGCATTTCTACCAGATTTCAGTCAACAATGTGACTTCCACGCGAGATGAGAGTAACTCAAGTCGCAATGTATTGATTAATGATTCTGTCTAATTACAACTGTTTCTCTATTGACAACATTTAATTTTCTGATTATTTTTGAACATGCATGTTACCGTCATCACGTGAAAAATAAACTACATAGACCACAAATTTCCAGACGTTTCCTCCATACGATCAATCGTTTGTGAGCAATTTATGTTCGTTCTGGAAATTACTCATTTAGAGTATTATTTTCGAATATTATTTTTGACAATTACTATTTTTTACTTTACTTCGTTTTCTTTTTATAATATTGTTTAAACATTAGACATTTGAAGAGGACTCAGTCTTGCAGTCGAAACATGTAATTATTAAAATAAAAAGTAATAGTAAGGTTCTCTATATATAAGAATAAAACAAAATAAAACAGTTGAAAGGCTAAAAGCCAGTTATGTAGTAAAGAACGTTTAATTTCAAAACATAAAAATAAAAATAATTACATAAACAAACGTTTCGACGCCGATCAAGTCATTCTCAATTATAGTAAATATTATTGTATTATTCAATACATTATACAATTACAAAATTATTGAGATCTATAAAATATTGCTTAATAGTGGCATGTAATTATTATTTTATGCGTAGAATATATTATATGTACAACTATTTTAATATTTTTATATATATGCAACAAAATGTTTGCAATACTTTAAATGTAATATATTCGTTTTTTTTAATTTATGAATTTTATCTTTTTCTATGTGTACGCGCGCGTGTGTGTTCATGTTTGATCATATGATATATAAATTTTTTATCATGAATTCTGAAATATTCTAAGATTTCTCACTTTTTAATTTTTGAAGAAAAATTATATAAGCGCAAAACACTATCAGAAGGAAAGCATACATACATTCCGTATGTATATACCTTGAGATATCGTTATCTTCTTTTAGTATGACATTGCCATCATGCGTTTCCAATAGCGGTAACCATCCCCAGCATTGTCCGTCAGAAGAGCATGCTGTTTTGATTACAGGTGCAAAGATATTTTGACTCCAAATATCCTTTGTATCGAGCAGCGGCGCCGCATAACCGGTCATTGTCCACAATGTGTTAAGTATTATTATTGGGGACAATTTAAAAACTGCTTTCATTCTAATTTCCTATTCTCAAAAAACTAAAAAAAGAGAAAGAGATTCGAATACATTTTTTAATCTAGTAGGATATAGACTTAATAAATAATATTAAGTATATGTAAAATTATTGCCAATGTGAGCTAACACTAGTTGTTCGTATGAATTATAAATAATTTTATTAAAAATCGTACAATAATATAAATAAAATATATTATTGTATGATTTTTAATAAAGTTAGATTAATAAAGTTACTTAGATTTAATCTCTTGAGCTTATATTTGTATAGAATTATAATATTAAGTAATTTAAACATTATATATACTCAACAACAAAATTAAAGCACCACTTAACTCATCCTGCCCCTCAAAAATAGGCAAATTTCGAAAGAGTGTAACTTCGTCAAAAATGATGGTAAAAAAATTTGTAAAAAAGCATTCTAAAGCTTGAAATTTCTACCTTCGAAAATGATAATTGATATTTTGATTAATTCTTTACGAAGTTGTGCGGACACAAATGAAAGTGCGTCAAATTTCAAAAATGTTTACTAACTTTGAGAAGTTCCATAGCGTGAATTAAAAATCGTATAAAAATTTGGTTTACAGCATTCGAAAGCATGAACCTTTACCTTTAATCTCCTTTTTATTGAGCTCTGTACGATTTTTTTTTTCACCGAGTTAATCAACATTAAAGTAAAAAGGACTTTTGCTTCAATGTCGAATAACTCGTTGAAAAAAAATTATACAGAGCTCAATAATAAAAAAATTAATTAAAGGTAAAGATTCACGCTTTCGAATGCTGTAAGTCAAATTTTTGTAAACATTTGTGCACAATTTTTAGTTTACGTCGTGAAACTTTTCAAATTTCGTAAAAAATTTTGAGGTTTAATGCATCTTCACTGTGTACGTAACTTCACGAAATATCAGTAATACTATTTTTTGAAATACTGGTATGAAAAGTAAAGATTTCAAGCTTGAAAATGGTTTTTTAAACATCTCGATACGATAATTCTTGACGAAGTTTATCATTGAATTTTATCATTGAAGTTTGCCTGAAGTTTTTTTAAAACAAAATTAGTCATTTAATATTAGGAAAAAGAATTATTTTTATTTCAATGTTGAATAATGCGATAAAAAGAAATCGTACAGAGCTCAATAAAAAAGAAAATTAAAGATAAAGGTTCACGCTTTCGAATGCTATAAACCGAATTTTTGTATGATTTTTAATTCGCGCCATGTAATTTCTCAAAGTTAGTAAAAATTTTTTAGATTTGTCGCACTTTTATTTGTGTCCGCACTTCGTAAAGAATTAATCAAATCAAAATAACAATTATCATTTTCGAAAGTAGAGATTTCAAGCTTTAGAATGCTTTTTTATAAATTTTTTTACTATCATTTTTAATGAAGTTACACTCTTTTGAAATTTGTCTATTTTTGGGGGACAAGATAAGTGATACTTTAATTTTGCTGTTGAGTGTATTTTATAAAATATTACGTATTTAAATCGTACGATTACAATTGACTTATAATAATAAATACTTGAGCACTAAGATCCGTTTTGAAAATAAAATTATTTCTCTTAATTGATTTATCATCATCGATCTAATACGAATTATAATTGTCAAAAATTTAACCCGCTCTCAAAATATAGATAATTCATTGTTGTTCGATTTCTTTCTTAAATATTTTGTTTCTATTTTGAATATTCTGAAATACGAATAACAAACATATCGTCGAGGAACGGCTCCCTCCCGTAAACATTGGCATAGTTTTAGCGGTATATATTGTAAATCATCCATAGGAATTTGTTTCGAAACGAGTATTTACGGGTAAAAATAATGTTAAGAAATATTGAAATGCAAAAATCTACTATCGTGTACCCCGCATGCTTGACGCATCACGTACGTAGCAAAAGCTCTGGCCCATTTGTCACTTTGCGAACATTAATCGTTACTATACAATAATGATTTGTCGACAGGCGGGTATGCTGTTTACGTTCTTCTCCCATGAAATTTCTACAACGACGATACTATTTATATAACATTCCTTCTAATTTTAGCATTCACATATATATTTGTATCACACATATGTTCCCGCATACCCATACGATACAGCGTAACAAGTTAAACAAGTTTGTAGAGGAGAAAAATATTATTTCTTCACGTTACATGCGGATTTAAAAAAATCAAGGGTACAGCGAGACTTCTGGATATTCAACGGATATTTTTGCGACAATGATGACAATAGGTGATCGTAATGAAGTACGTGATCTTATTCCATCTCGACGTTTCCCTTTTTTCGTCGCGACATCACTTCATATAGACATTTCCAATAAAATGAAAATTCCGTATCAACGTCGAAATTAAATAATAATCGTTTTAAAAATCGCATACAAAGTCCGTGAAATTGGTATCACATTTTATGAGAAAGTTCTTCGATTCGGGGGTATTTTACCTTAGCAGTTAAAATTAAAAAAATCTGATTTTTATATCGAAAAGAGCACATACCTTGGAATACGCCACTATTGTTCGTTCGTTCGTTCGATTTAAGCTTCTTGGCATACACTCTTGGAGTAAAGTACGGGGCGGTTTCGCGACTCGGATGCGAAACCGCACAGTTGTACGGTTTACCGGTTATTCGTTGGGGTGGATGCGATCAAGTGCGTCAGGAGGCTGAGCGTTCCGCTACTTCCATTCATCAACCCCTACTTTCTACTACAAATTCTCGTAATACCCCACTCTCTTTAGCGACAGCCAATCAAAAATCTCGGAAGAGGCTGTATGGTCCGATTATTCGTAGTTTCTTTTATTTTTTTCTCGCTTTACTTGTCACTATTTCTCGTCATTGTCGTCATTGCTATTATCATTATGATTTTTCTCATATCTTTTTATTTTGAAAGGACTTCTAAAACAGTTTAAATAGTTAAAGTAAATTACTCTGGAAAAAGTTACAAGTCATAAGTATAATACAGGCATTTTCTATACACTATTGATTTACGGTTGCAAAAATACCATCAGTAATTCTTAAGTACTATTTCAAAAAACATAAAGAGAAGCAATTTGGAATCATTACAGATCGGATACTTTTTTAGAGAGAAAGTTTGTACGATCAGATTGAAGGCAAAATTTATTAATTTATTTAAAGAAAGGAATAAAAATGGATATACTACATAGTTTTTTGTTTCAGTATTACTATTGTATTTGATGTAGAAGATTGCAATAGAAAATTTATTGAAAATAGTTATGAGTATATCTATTTGTAAGTACATCTTGGCGCATGTTCGCTTAAAGATAGGCTGAATTAAATTCGAGGTGGTAATGCGCGAAGTATAAATGTTTAATGATCGTTGCCTACGTAGTGCGATTCCCTCAGATAACACCGATTATTAAAATATTTCAGACTTGAGGAATGTTGTAAAATGATGTTATTTATATTCATTTGTCAACTTATACGTTTAGTTTTTAATGAATTATACATAAAGTATAGATACGCATGGAAATTTGTTGAAATTTCTGTGGTATGCCGCGGATGAGCTGATATGTGGGATTCTGCGGATAGATTTGTCATGTAATAAAATATATACCCTCGTCGTGTAATTATGAAAGCATTCGAGGTCTCTTATTTGTTAACATTGCACAACGTTGGCGAACGTTGCAGGTAAAAATTAGTATGAAGGACCTAATCCGTTTTGGATTTCTTGTACGTAATAATAAATCTTATACTGACAAAAAAATATAATAGGTAAGCTGCTAAATATCTAATATTTAAAAATCTGAGGAAAAAAGTCTATCAGAATCAATAAATCAATTTTTTTTAAAATTGTACATAAAGTTATCGCTATTTTTTAAATGAAATGAGATGTTTTTTTAATAGTAAAGTTGTAAAAAATTAAGAGGTTATATATTTTATTCTGGGATATTTTGACATAAAATATAAAATATTTCATAAATTATTAAATTTTTTGTTACTTAACCTTAATATTTTACACAGAATAATAAGATATGATAAAATAGCAAGATCACTTGATATAAAGAAATCACATAATTGCTTTTAAAAAATGATATTATATAATTATATATTACAAATTTGATTCGTTTGTTTTCTGATTTTTTGTTGATGTTTTTTGATTCGATAATATTTTACATTTCATATTAAAATATGACAATATATTCGGTATTTCAAAGAGTACATTTGTGAACAGTCGACAAAAAATTGCGACTACAGAACTTTTGAACTTTTTGATCTTCTAACAATAATCTTTCATTTTAGTTAAGTTTCATTACTATACGTAAGCGACTCAGTACCTGTATATAGTAAAACAGAGCAAAATTTTTTTTTGGTTCAAATCTCAGTCTGTTTCTCGATTTTGTTCAAAGTTCATATTATATTTTGCTATCGAATGAGGAGGAAAATAGGATTAGAGAGAAAGAAAAACGAGAAAGAGCTATGACTAGATTCGCTAGGCAGTAGAAAGTGAAAGAGAGAAAGAGAATATCTAGCTAGAAGTATCTCGCGAAAAACTGAGCGGACGCAACAAGTAGTTTGAACAAATGAACGCAACGTTAGATTAAAGATCGTCCAATTGCGTGCACATATAGTATATGTATGTAATGTACGAGATGGAGAGTTCAGGATATGATGAATATAGAACGGATATATGATTCGTAGCTGCTTGAGGTACTCGCAGGGCTTGAGATTAATCATTAGTCCGCAGTGCAACCTCGCAACACGTTGAACAAACTTACATAACTGATCCGAATTCTCCTCTCGACTGTGATGACTTTGACTTAAATGAATCCTATTTTTGGATATCCAAACATTTCCATAATATTTTAATTTCGATATCACAGCTTATAATATCCAAATCAATTCTTTCTCAGGCATTAATTTCAAAAAGATATCAACTTATTACGCATTGTAACAACGCATTTCCACCTCAATATAAAATTACTACAAACAAAGACAAAAAAGTATTAGGTAGGGGAGAATGTCCTAAATCGGACCTTGTTCCAAATCGGACCTTTCTTTAATTTAAATAAATACGGTTAAGTAGATTTGCGTGCTATTTATAATGTAAAATTCTTATAAGGCACCGAATATGTGACAGTAGTTTGTCATATGTGGCAGTACTCTGTCATAACGTTCATAGAATAGATGCAAATATGTATTTTCGGCTATCATGCGAAAATTTTTTTAAAAAAGAAAATCCTTGTAAATCATTATTTAAAAGATGTTAAAATTTTAAATGGTAATTGATTTAAAATAATTAAAGAGTGTAGAATTCAAAAATATCAAGAGTTTTGTGGTTTATTGTAAAATTTGTTCCAATCGTTCGAAAGAACCCGCGTGTCCAAATCGGACCTATCAAAATATACTAAAACCGAGTAAGCTAGCTAATTCATTGAAGAAAGAAGGTTCGCCACAACCTGGTTGTAATATTAATGATCGAACGACCAGATCTGGTCTAAAGGAGTTGAAGTTAATAAACTTCCTGGTGATATGATTCTGTTTTCTCTGTATAAAATTAAATGAGTGTTATGATAAATTACATTAGATACAATTTTTATTGACTTCAAAGGCGAATGATTGTGCTTGCCGTATGGATTATATAGTTGATGAACAATAATCAACGAAGCTAGGATTTTTTTATATTGTACACTTTTTGCTGAGGATGGCCAAAACCAATGGCCGAAACGTCTTTATCAAATATATTTGTAACTTCTAAGCTATAGTAAAGTATACTTTAGAATTTAATGTGTGCGTTGTCTTACTGCGCTGACTTCTAACCAGCCGCCTAAATTATTATTGTTATATCTAATAATATAAACGGCATTTTTATCTTTGAGTTTTAAATTGCTCGTTTTTACTCAATACTAACAAAAATTAATTAAAATATTTTAAAATTCTATCTAAAAGTTCATAAAAATAGAAGAGGTCCGATTTGGAACTCATAGTTCCAGACCGGAAAATGCATTTTTACATTTTCCATTATAGCTTGACACGGGTAACGTCAAAATAGTCTAAAGCAAAAATGAAGGAAATTAAATGATCTTTCGAACGGCATCATTGGTTTTATGATCGGACTTTATTTACGCCTTATAAAGAACAAAAACTGTAAATAGGTCCAATTTAGACACCACTCTCCCCTAATACATAAATTTCATTTTATCTCATATATAATATTATAATAGATATATTTGATGATCTCAATTGTTCGATTAGCAACACGTATTATGATTTATGTGTATGTGTAGGTATAAGTACATTTATTATCAATTACTCCATTTTGGACAAAATACAAAAATTTATATTTGCATACACTTTTATAATTTTAATTGTAAAATTGTAGCACATCATATTGGTTCTTAATGTACGACGAACCAATCCTATTACAGAAATTTCAAGTTGTTTTTAATAAGTTATATTTCTGACAATTGTGTGTTTCAGGCCGATATGTGGGATCTCGACCGATAAAACTTCGGAAAAGCTCATGGAAGCAAAGGAATCTAGAGTCTGTACGTAAGAAGGAGAAGGAGAAACAAACACTGATTGGTCTGCTTACTGGTCGATGACGAGATGAATTCTCCTTATTATGTTTCGATTATTTCGATCACCCATACACGACACACTCTGATAGTTTAGACAGACGAACAGATTATTGTGAATTATGATGTTATTATGGATCAATTCTAAGCAGAATCGTAACTTATTCTCGTAAAATTTGTAAGAACTTACATGTTTAGTATTTTAATTTTACGCATATACATCGTAAGACGTACAATTGTTATTAAATATCTATAATTTCTGATAAATCTTATAGCTAGTAAGAAGTTATCTGTAAATATATTACATAAAGTATAAGCACTTGAAAGTTCTTACAAATTTTACGAGAATGTTATAAGCCTTACGAATCCGCTTAGAATTTAGGCATTAGTTTCATCGTCGACTATTTTGTAAGAGTATACGCCAATGAAATTATAATTATAAATTTGTTATATATCTCGGCTTTTACTTCTTAATATTATTTTTCTAATCTTAGACTTATTTTCCTTTAAGATAGATGATAAAATATATCTCAAAATGTCAAGTTTTTTTTATTTACGTACACATTATATATCAAACGATAAAGGACAATCAGCGGAATGTAAAAATCGATTGAGGCGTAAACAGTCGAAATTTTTGTTGATTAGACTACATAAAATGATCGACAAAATATATGAAGAATGGAAGAATTATTAGCGAGACCGAATTCGGATGGAAAGTTAGAGATTGATCCATTAGAGGTACATAAGCAATTAAACATAAGCAATTGATCATTATATTGGTCCTTTATTTTTTTTTAATAGAAATTATATACTAGAAAGAAATTATGTTTTGCATTTTGTAATAGTTGTACACTAATTTATTCGATATATCAAAACGTCGTTGTTGGCATTTATATAAGATATCTTTTTGCGAATGATCGCAGGTTAACGAGGGCGAAAGAAGTGAGAATGTCGAGAGGCACGAAAACGGAAAGACTTTGTTCTCAAATGGCGATATGTATGTCGGTCAATATCGTAACGGGTTTAGGCATGGCGAAGGTACCTATGTATTTAAAAACGGTGCCCGATATAACGGCGATTGGAGACACGGACAGAAATACGGGCAAGGGACCTTTTGGTACCCTGACGGAACGCGATACGAAGGTACGAAAGAATGTATACAAAAATAGGATCCGAATCAGACTCGAGGAAGTCGTACCGCAAGCATGTGGACTTGTCGACACGTCCATACGTATATTCATACAATTATTTTTATGTCGGACGTCACAAATCGTAGAGAAGCTAAGAGTGTGCCAGGAATTTTCGAAAGAGTTGAATACGCGCAAGAAGCGGAGATAACTCGAGATCTTCGCTAAGAAAAACTCGAACTCGATGACACTTGATTTTGATTGGCAATAATTATTCGTTACAGATAAAATTCGATGATATATTAAACATTGATCTGCTTAGGGGAATGGAGACGTAATGCGAAACACGGCTTCGGTACTTATTGTTATATGAACAATGACATTTATGAAGGCTCGTGGAAGGAAGATCTTCGTCATGGTATAGGAACGTATTTATATGCTGACACAGGGACGAAATATATAGGTACGTGGATGGAAGACCGCATGCAAGGACCCGGACAACTCATTCATGCGCGCTATCAATTTCATGGTTTTTGGAAGATGAATTTGGTACGGAACAAATACAGAAAAGTAATCGCGGCGCCTTGATTATATTCTTCTAGATCATGAGTCCTGAATAGGACAAGAGCATCTCATTTATAAATGTCTAGATCAACGCTGTCCAAGATTTATAATGCTAGGTATAAACTTGACATATGTGTTGACGCTTGTCTTTATTGTGGAAAAAGGAAATAAGTAAAAATATACACATCAAGCCAGTGCCTAGAATTTTTGGGCAGTTTTGACCAAAAGACCGAAGAAACATGTATTTAATTAATAGAGATGTTATGCATTTAGCCGTACGGACGTGGTTGCTTCACTTTTGAGGACGTGTGTATGCAGCATGGTCATTACATACACGTGAGAGATCCCATGTTTGACAGCTCAATTTTAATAAATACAGATAAACGCATTGTGGAAGTAAAAGTCTCTCGATGAACTTTTTATTTAAAATCATAGAAACTTTTTATTTAAGTTTTCACACAACGAATTGTCCAGAGAATCATCCTTATTTCTCATAAGATTTCACGATTGTTACACTTTACACTGTACATTGAAGAAGTTACATCTGATTTAAATTGAAATAGAAAATGTCCATAAAAACATGAGTCCAATTCAGAATGGTTGTCCATTCGTAGAGTTTAAAGTTTATTAATGAGAGATGGCACAATTTTTAAAACATTTTTTAAATTACACCTTATGTATAGATATATAATAGATCTTTAAAAGTTTAAAAGCTTGTTGCGGAATATAATAAATATTGTAATTATTTCTTTATAAAAATAACATTTTATTTAATTTAAATTAATATTTAAAATATTTTAATGTATGTAAAAAAAATATATATATATATATACATATATATTTAATACAAAAAACAAAAATGTTAATGAAACATTATATAAACATTAATATGTTCTAAATAATATACATTATAATATATGTAAATTATTTAAATATATTATAGATTTTGTATTACATTATATAAACACACACGCACATATACAAGAAATTATATAATGTAGGAGACCGATAATGACGTTGAAAAGGGAACATTGAAAGAAGAATCATCTCCGAAAATGGGCTTCCTACTGATGTGGCGCGCACGTTGTATCACTCCTTATAACCCGGAATTATTGCCGCCGGAAACAGTATTCCTGCGAGAGGAAGTAATCAAAATCATTTGATAACTTAAATATTGCATCGTAATTGTCCTTCAAGCGAGCCGTTTTACATGTATACCGGTCGATAGAGAGTGATGCTGATCCCCTGAATAGTCAATAGGAAATCGATGAATCGGTTAAAAAGTGGATTTTACAGTTTTACAGCATTGTGTGACGCATAATTCTATTTGTTTTATTTCGGCGACTACGAAAACGAATTAATATTGGAAAGCGACATTGCGAGCTCGCGATCTATATCCAATCGCCTTTCCCTAAAGGCGACAGGATTTCCTTAATACACTGTCTGCGTCATCGGAAGCGGAAACGATTCTTCCGGTAAAATGAATTTTAATCGACCGCTTTATATTATAACGAGACTAGCGAATATCCGGTAGTTATTTCTAGCACGTCGCCAGATTATGGACTTCCGTATAATCGTTAATAGAATTACGATATCCGGGCAGAGGGTAGTCTTTCTTTTCAAATCCATGTTTATGTCATTTAATGTTCCTAGCTGACATGATATATCACCGGTATCCGATAGGATTAAAACCTAATGTAATATGCATCTCGAAACATTTCGATCTAACAAAATATCGTGTTCGCGTAGGTGTCAACGGAATCTTCACTCATCAAAGACGAAGATGATGTTAGGCCAAAGATCGAAGGGTCCTCCGATTACCTGGAAGATTATCACGAAGAACATTATCAGGAAAAGGAACTGTCGTCTCAGATCGACAGTCTTTAATTGTGATGAAATACATAAAGTTGTCAGTTCTAATTGTCGATTAATTAATTTATGAGCGTATTACGTACTCTCCTTGCATTATACGTACGTTATACGTAATTTCCTTTCGCATAAGTAATGTAGAACGAGAACGTTTTCAAGCGCTTTATTTAGGAAATTATAATAACGAATGTGTATATATATTGTATATATATATATGCATGTTTACTATACAAAACGTAAGAAACTATTAAATCATCAAAAAATCTTGTTTACATTTTGTTATATAATACAAAGTGCATATAAATGCAAAATATGTACTCTTGCACGATTGATATTCTTACAGTAAGTATATTAAATAATTCAAGTTTATATTTACTTATTTACACTACGTCTCTCTTCAGTTGATGTAGTGTAGTGCAGTGTCGAATGCTATGATGTAACGTTAGTAATAATATATGTATATTATATATACATACATATATATATATATATATATACAGAGTGTCATTAACCGATTAAATCACCTATCAAGAGCAGGTAAAATAGACCGAATTAAGTCGAAAAGTCTTATACCATTTTGCAGTTTACCCAATATTTAATGAGATATTAGATCTAAGATAGCCAAATAAACGCGTTCGTCCGGCCTACTACAACTGTTTAATATCTCGTTAAATATTGTAAACTGCAAAATGGTATAAGACTTTTCGACTCAATTCGGTCTACTCTACCTGCTCTTGATAGGTGATTTAATTGGTTAATGATGCATATATACAGGGTGTTTGAGAAGTAATGAAAAGTTTTGTCGTATAGGGGTAGAATAGACTAAACTGAGAAGGAAAGTCCTCTATCATTTTACAATTTTCGCAATAGTTAACGAGATATTAATTTATAAAAATATCAAAATTTTTTCGCTCTGCGCACCGCCAAATACAAGCGGCTGGATATAATCGCCCAATTATAACAATAAGCGGCAATGGTCGTTGCTAGACAATGGTAGAGGACTTTTCTTCTCAGTTTAGTTCATTCTACCCTATGCGACAAAATTTTTCATTACTTCTCAAATGTGTACAGCATGTGTATAGTTACAAGCTCGACAATCAATTTCTTGCAGTTCAAATTATGAACGAGATATAATGCACATGAAAAATCGTATATAATTAATTAATATCCCATAAACTTCACGTTTTGACATAATTTATATCATTCTGAATTAATGGGAAGAGTATATACTATTATAATTTATTAAAGTTTATATATATTATCTAGAATGCCTTTTGCTCTTAATTATTGATACATGCTGGGTGGCCAAGATTGTCGAGAAAGCATTTTCGGTGGCTTGAAACAAGCGACTAGAGAGAAAAGAATGGACGTTTTCTCGTTATTTCGTTCGTTCTCGACGCGCCGAAGGTGAGCACAGCCGATTGATGGCGCTAATTACGTACCTATATAATTCTTACCGCTGATTCTATGATACAATATTTCATGTCAATATATTCCAAAATAAAATATAAAATATCTTATAAACATATCAGAAACTTATTATTTTGATATCTTTATGTTAGTACTTTTATATGAAAAATAATTAGAGGAATTATATTATGTGAAAATCATGTAATTTCATTTTAAAATGTAGAGGTAATTTTCAAATTTTTTTGTTGCTTCCACTTAGAGAAAAGCAACGTAAAATCAAAATACATCTTCTAAACTGTTCCACCTTCATCTGACACATATCTTTTATATTTTTCAAAAAATTAGTTGGAGACGGTCTGTCTATGTGTTACACAGACAAGACCTGTATTCATACTTCATAAAAATAATGTGATACCATTACTTTTTACTAATTTTAAAAATAACGCGTTGTCATTTTACCGTTATTTAAAAAGCAACGATTTGTTTTTAACTTTTTTGTAATGCTAAAATAATATAGACATTATAAATATATAAAAACTACATTATTTAATAATTTTTATTTAATATTGATTGCAACAATCAATATTACAACTTGAAACTCTAAACTAGTTTCGATTCATTTTCTTTATATTAAACTTATTTAATAAATCTCCTATATAGTTCCTTTATATTAATATTTTTGTTTCTTAATAAATGCTTATCTTTAAGAATTTAAATTATAATTTACAAATTTCATTAAAAATTTTTATTAAACATTGTAACATTAACCTTATTATTAAGAGCGCATTCGAAATTTACTTTATTAAATAATGCAATCTGTTATAGATATAAAGACGACACGTGATTGAAATAACGATTAAATTCGTTTTTGTAAAAAAAATTATATATACATACATATACACATACCGAATTGAGAAGTAATATGCGTTACTTGTAATAACACCGTTACCCCTTTATCGTTAACGTTCCTTTTTTCGTGAATTGTTTTTATCGTTACTTCAATCACTTGTTATCTTTATATCTATTCAATAGATTGTATTTATGATACACATATATATACGCGCATGCATGTGTATAAATATTTGTAATTAATTGGCATTATATACATATTTTTTTAAATATATTAAACGCGAAATTGAAAGCACAAACTCGGTTATTGTTAATTGAATAACGAAATACAAGCGCGTCACAGCTATGCAGGCAGGATTATTCTCTGTGCCTGCTATTTTATAGTAATTCGAAAAGTTCTCGGCCTGTGTCTCAGAAATGACGCCACATCAATATCAAACTGCTATAATTTTAGACAAGCTTGATACTGCACAGAGTTACTGTTAAAATGTCAGATAGTTCATTGATTTCTCTATATGGTCATGTAAAGCAACCAACTGTTAGCTTCATCATGACAATGCAGCCGCTCATATTCTTCAATCGTAAAATTCCATGAATTCCGCAAGATTGAATCTGATAAAATACAGTGCTGATTCTAGTTGAAGAAATTGGAACCAAAAGTTGGTTATTTTACACGAAACAACTGATGAAAACAACTTGACTGAAACAATGTAACAATGAACGCATCTGTCTGAAATTTTAACTCTCTGTAGCCATGGTAAGATTAAACTTTTTTGAGATAAGGGCTGCGTTTGTTTTTCACACTCACGCGCTGTGAGCTTCATTCTATCATTATTGCTCGGTATTTGCGGACAAAAAATAGAATGAAGCTTACAACGCGTAAACATGAAAAATGAATGCAGCTATAGACTTCGTTTGACATTTATGATGTCATTTCTGTGCTGAGAAATTTTTGAACTATCCTTGTATGTCTATGTCTAACTTATAACTATATTTTTATGCTGAGGATGATTACATTTAAAAAACGTAAGAGTTGAAAGAGGAAGACTAAACTTCAGTCAGGAAAAGTTCAGTTATACGAAAGTGGAAGGAACAGTAATATTGAGTTATATACAGCGATATTCGATACTATACTTGATGATATAATAATTTAATCGAATCATAAATTTTGTGACGTCATAATATTATATGATCCGGCGGAGCATGCTGATTTTTAGAGAGTAGCAAGTCCTCACAATACTGGCAAATACTGTCAATTTTAGTTTTTAAGGTAAAGGTACAAAGAAAAACGCATACACATTCGTATTTTTCTAGTTGATTGCTTCGCGCGACTTATATAGGGTTGCCACAGAAAATGAATTTTGAAAACCCCTTATTTTCTGAATTTTCCAGATGACAGTGTCAGAAAACAAAATTTTCCGTAACCAATATCAAATATGTAAATTTTAACATTTAGAAGCAGATATTAAATTTATATTAAAAAAGCATTTTGTGTGTAATTAAAAATATGCATTTTGAAGCTTGGCAACATAATAAAATCATGGGATACAAATTCAAGCCAACAAAAAATAAAAATGAATAAAATATCTTAACTTTATTAAAATTGTTTTGACTATTTTAATTTGAATTTTATAGTTTGAAGTAAAAAGTATATTCGATAGAATATGTAAATTTTATTTTTAGTTATAACACAAAGCTTAATTTAAGTGAATTAAGTTTTGTATTGAACTATAGAGAAATTAAAACAAAAATAAAACTTGACATTGTAAGCAATTTCTAATTTCTACATTTAAAAAAGGATTACATTTCATTCAATATGTATAATAACTGATGCGCATGATCTAGTGTATAGTTTAAAAGATTAACTAAGAAAGATCAATATTTTATAAATATTGGATACATTATTTAAAAAATTATATTTGGAATAAAAGCATATTTTGAAGGAATAGCGCAAAGCTCAAAATTTCAGACTCTTATATTTTTCCCTGACATTTCCAGGTTTTTCACAGTCCAATTTAAAATGACTTCCCGGTTTTCTTGGTCTGTGGTAACCCTATTATCCCTTATAAAAAAACGAATTGCAAGAGACATGAAGATTCTATAGAGATCTATCGAGACTTAAAAGGACGGAAGAGAAAGCGAATAGATAAAATTGTCACGTAAGAGATTGCAGTCTTTTAACAACAGATAAATTACAAATCATGAGTAAGTGTAGAGTGCGTATTATATTAAAGTCCGTAAAGTTCATAAAGTGCTTAAAGTCCATTCTACAATAGGCAGTAGTAGTAGTGGATTAAGGAGTAGGCGTAGAAATTAACAAATCATAGTCGAATGTGAGGAAGATAATTAACTGTCATTGGTCGATTTCTACGCCTACTCCATAATCTACTACTGCTACTGCCCATTGTAGAATGGGCTTAATACAGATAAAGTGTTATCGAGAAAACGATGCGATGCCTAACATTTATATCGTAAAATTATATTAGACCGTCGTATCAAAGCGTCAACTGTACTAAGCATAGCGAGTCGCGCATTTACATTCGACACGTTCTCGGAACGAGTTTTGAACGAGTTTACAAACGAATTTGTAAAGTCTGTGGGCGCACTGACGCTAGCAACATTGTGATAGCAAAATACTTTGGTCTGCGACTTCGCCGTCCACTTGGCACAAGATAAAAAAAATTCGCGAGTTACGCGACGTACACACAGCCCTTGATCTGGTCGAAGTGACTCTGTTTTCCTTTCGGCTCTAGTGCCAATTTTATCGAGAAGCCTCAAGAGAGATAACAGACTTCGATGTATGTTTCGCCATATTTCTCACGGCATCGGGGATCTCGTCATAACGGTCGAATTATTGAATAAGCTATCGCGCTCGTTTGCGATCTCGTGAGAAAAGTCATTTATACGACTCTACTTGGATCGCGCGCGCCGGCGTGTAGTATGTGCGTTTAACGTGCCAACGATTTTCTTCGAAGTCGTTTAAGCATCTCAGGTACGTAAACGTGGACGAAATTTGCACTTTGTCGCGCGAAGCGACTCGTTTCAGCGAGCTATGATACCAGCTCTTGGCGAGTGACTCTCTTTGCTCCTAAAATGAGATTTTTTCCGCTTATACAGCACATATCTATATACAAATTCGATATTTCAACTTCCGATCGTTGTTAATATATTATAAATATAAGAATGAGTCGTATTATATTTTATCAATCAGCAAGGAGGAAAAACGCGGGATGGTGTTGATGGTACTTCGATACAGAAAAATCAAGTGTATACAATGCAAAATTGCGTACACTTATCATCGATGGCGTGTAGACAATAGGATTTCTTTCGTTCGATAAATACCATTCTGATTATGTAGATCATAAATGCGAGTCATTTTAGAGATGTCGACACAAAGCGACTAAACAACATTATCTCACATCAGGTCCGACGGCGGTCTCTGAAACGCAATACTAGCTACGGAAATACTGCACAGGCCAGCCGTTATAATACCCATGCATATGTAGACTGACGTAATTAGCCAGAAGGCAAATAAATATAGTGTCTTATTGCAATACTTCCCTAATGCTGGATCATAGTTTGGCTCATATTCCTTGTATACCCACATAGAACCTGTAATTAATAGATTTATAAGATTGTGTTCTCGAAAATACCTAGTACAATTAATTTACAAAAACAATCACAAATTACACAATAAGAACAGTTTCACTGAAACTTTTATTGAAACACAAAATTGTTCTCTAAAAATTCCTAGATCTTTTTAATAAAAATTGTTTTAAACGTGGAATTTTTTAAATGTAATTTTGAGATAAATTGGAATGCAAACAATTCGAACAAATTGTGTACAAATTGTATGTTAGAAATGTATATGTATATATGGATTATTCCATCTTAAAACATAAATGGCTTTATTCATAAATAGTTTGATCCTTTTTAGATGTATAAGAAACTTCAGCTTTTTTTTTACGTAGAATTTAACATCACATGGTGATTTTGATATCTTTATGGCGAAGTTTTTAATGAACTATCATTAAAGAATTTAATATAAAATTTGACCAATTTCTAAATTACGATTTTTTTAAACAAGACTCAATAAACAACGGTTTTTTTTTTATTAATAATTGGGTTGATAATCATAAATTTTTAATTATCGAAGCAGGATTTAGGACACTGAATCCAGCTTTGCTCAAACTTCAAGAGTGACCCAATATGATTGATGAATTTCATCTTTCATGATGGAATATCCTATGACTGAAAATTTGACACTGTCAGTAAAAAGTGAAAAAATCATAACAATATGATTACCGATAATGAACCATCCTAGCATAAAACAATTGATCAGAGTTTGTGTAGGCGATTGTCTGATCCTTTCCTCATCTCTTTCTTCTTGACGTTGCCGTACTCTAGCCGATAAAGTTAATAATTGCTTAAATACTCCAAATCCACCGCCTACCAACAAGTATACGGGAATGTATTCACCCTGTGGACAATCGTAAAGGTACAATCCACCAATTACCATCATACAAATTGGTACCACTATCGTCACTCCAAGAATGATGGTACATCCAACTGGAAAATGATGGTTTCACATTTTATATCCAGTTATTAAGGTTTTCTTAAAGTATTTTGTTTTCATCCTCTCATCTACTGTCGATATTTAATATGCATATCGACTTACTTGTGCCTAAAAGCAGGACAACGATATTTTTTAAAAAATCAAATATGCCTTTGGATATTTTACGGGCTTCTCTCATACGACCAAACAAAGAATCATAGGACGGTGGTGGTGCTGAAAAAATTACAGAGATAGACATACTTGATTCATACATACATGGACTGAATGTCTCAAAGGTGCATTTGGAAAGACGTTAGTGCCATTTATGTTATTCTAGCCTTGTTTTATATCTAAAGAACGATGAAGATACAATGACGTTACTAGCGTTAATAGCATCTACCAGAATGCATCTCAAGTATACCATTTTATTTTAGTTTACGACGATCGGATGAACAACAAGGGCAAATCGATGGACAGAGCAATGTAAGTGACGTTTCCGAATGTAGCCATAAATATGCACACACTATAAAGGTCTGCGGTAACGTACCATTAGGATCTATCGCCTCCTCGTATGAGGGTGGTGCACCACGTTCGTTGGTCAACGTGGAGGGATGGCCGAGAGGTAAATTGATATTATGGTAGGATGGTGGCGGAGTGCAGCAGGTCGATGTAATCTGCGTGCTTGTACCGGGATTTATGTCCTCCACCGTTGCGGTGGGAGCATTTGTGGTACGGCTTATCGAGCTCAAAGGCATTTCTTCCCGTGCAACGCCGGTTACCGTTCTGTTCCAATACATAAGGCCTGCTTTCCCGACAGATCTGAGGATACCAGCGTATAATCACCCTGTCGCTGTTTACATTAGCGAATACCAGCCTTTATAACCTAAAAACCGCGCACGTTCGAAAGTTGTTTGCCTCCCCTCAACCCGGAGAGGGGAAGCGCGAATTGTAAGAAGGGCCTCGTTCTTGCGGTATCCGAAGAATTTCCGACTCACATTTATGAGTCAAACGAGGAACGGCGAGTTTCTGAAAGCGTTTCGAAACGAAACTCCGAGATACAGCGTGTTATTTCCACGGTATGGGAAACAATTTGGGGTAACGTTTTAATTGGTCAAAGAGCTGCCGCCATGTTCAAGACGAAATCCCCAAAAGTGTTTGCACTCGAAACGGGACATATATATATTCAGGCATTGAAAAGAGAGAGAACGAAGATGCTAGTATAAAAAGTGCAGCAACGCAAACAGGGCAGGGTTGCCAAGTGTAGGGCTTTTCCGCCAAAATGGCGCCTTGAGGTAGTGGTTTGGATTGTCGATGTCAAAATAATCGAATGCGAATCGCCCCCCTAGGTTTTGCAAAAGATCTTGGTGAGATTACAACTTTTCTGAACAAACAGGGTACGGTATCACTGACAATTGATATCAAATATGGCAACAAAAAAGATCAATGGATTATATGTGCCTTTTAATCAGTTATGTAAACGAAATGTATCTATGGTAAATACTGTAAAACGCACATATGCAACCACGGATGAAGTTGACAATCAGGTTACTCATACTGGTCAGGTAAGATGTCCTTAGTTTATTTACATAAAAATTTTAATAATTATACAGTTTAGCAACTGCACCTCAAAAATTAATTAAATTAGGCTTGCTCGACAGGTTCGCACTTCTGCTAGATTTTTTTGTTTCAAAAGCATATTGAACAAGCTCAATTTCATTGATTTTTGAGATGCAGTAGCTAAACTATAATTACCAAAATTTTTTTATACAAGATATTACCCTATTTGTTCAAACGGAATTTATATAGACCAGTAATACATACTTTTTCAAATTTATAAAAATATATTTATTATGCTTAGTTATTAGTTGATTATTAGATACGTAATGACCTTTCCAGTAAACAAATTACTTGCAATATGATAATAGAAAGGCAGTAAATGTGCAACAGATCCAATATCATTTGTATCTATATTAAAATCATATTTTACCAACAGATCTACCGAATATAGGTTGCATTCTATAAAGTACATGATGTATTATCTTGTCTTTGTTCACTGATTATTAAAAGATAACATGATACATCATATGCTTATGGATCATAATCGGACTGCATATTGTTGCCAGAAACAAAATATGTTCTATTATTTTAGATCAGTTTTTTGTGTTTGAATTAGTATATACTTTTGGAATTTTTTAAGTGAGACATGTTTGATATTTTACGAAAATGAGAAAAAGAGTTTTAAAGTACAGTTTAGTGCAAGAATAAAAAATAAACCTTTCTTAAATATTCAATTGATTACAAAATGGTAGTCAACAAATTCTGCTCAATCTCTATAGTCAATGTATTATATTTTGTAGTATTAGTGAATTTTATTTTATTTCTGCTGGCATACTATCAAAAATTAGTAGTAGATATTATCACAATCTGTTGTATGTGTTCATTATTCGAGTTATACTAAAATTGTAAATTTTCTTGTATTTTCAAGATTGTTGGTTGATAAATATATAAATAGAATAAATTTAAAAGAAACAATAAAGTGCCAAAGTGAGCTGACACTAGTTGTCAGTATGTATTCTTTATACATAAAATTTTATTTCACAATGAACAATAAAAATGTATACATTTCGACCCTCATTCGAGTCCTCTTCAGTGTACAAAAGAAAATTAATTAAATGTAAAAGTCAAACATGTAAAAATAAAGTAACATGAAATGTAATGGAGTTAGTACAACAATGATAACTAGTATGACAATGATAACAGTCTTGACAATCATGCTAGTTAATTTATTATATGTTTTATCCAAAACTTTTCCTTTAAAAATTATGAAAATATATTTTAACTTTTTAGTAAACTTGATGACAAGATTTGACTTGAATTAGGACATTACCACCACATTATTTCATGTTACTTTATTTTTATATGTTTATCTTTTATATTTAATTAATTTTCTTTTGTACTGAAGAGGACCCGAATGAGGGTTGAAACGTATACGTTTTTCATTTATTGTTCATTATTGAATAAAATTTTATATATAAAGAATACACACTGATAACTAATATCGGTTTACATTAGCATTTTATAGTTTCTTTTGGATTTATTCATATATGAGGCTTGTAATTATTTTATTTTTTAAATAAAATAAATTGAATAATTTTAATCATCATGAACTTATTTTTAAGAAGTATTTAGAATTATTTCAAATATTATCCTTTGTAACATCTTTAATGAATACTATATTTTTCTTTCTTTAACTACATATATATTGTCATGCCTTTATTAGGTATTTGAGAAAGACGACTATCGATTAGTAAGATTTTTAAACAGGCCAAAAGAAGTTAATAAAAATTGGGCAATTAAATTGATAGATGAAGTACCATCGTCTCCTAAAAAAGATAGAATTGTAGCTTGTGATGGTGGTGGAGGACCCCTTGGACATCCTAAAGTTTATATAAATTTAGTAAGTTACGCGCCGAACAATTGAATAAAAATTTCTGCGAAACTATTATGAATAGTTGCCAGGTGGCTGCAACATCCCATTAAACGAAATGTCAACTCTGTGATCAATAAACTTTAACCGTTATTAATTTAATAGCTGTTATAATCTTGATGTTTTTGTATTATGTATTGTCTACAATACACAGAATAAATTAGAATGAGAAATTGACCAATCGCAGTCGAATGTGAGAAGAATAATCGACTATGGTTAGTTAATTTCTTACTTTACGTATTCCTTGTATTGTAGACGACGCGTTAGAGTTTTCACCTTTAAATTGCATTAAGATGTAATATGATTATGTCTTGATCAGAAAATGCGATAGTGATGGGATACCCTATAATTACTATTTTATGCTTTTATTAACTGTAAGGAGAATACTTTTATTTTATGTATTTCATTATTTGCTATTTAGTAATAATTATTTAAATATTAAAATAAATAGCATATTAGATTATAATAAAATTTTATTTCTAAAAAAGATTAAACTTATTTTTTATTGTTTTATAGGATAAACCAGGCAATCATATCTGTGGTTATTGCGGATTACGATTTCACAAAGAAAATCATTAGATGATGTATGTATATGAGTAGTGTATATTATATGAATTGTTAATTTAAAAGATATACTTTAGGATATTACGTTTGTTGTAATAAATGTACAAAATAAAACTGACAGTTTAATTCAAATAAAAAAAACTGTTGTATCAATGACTATGTTTCCACCGAGGGTTAGAGTTGGATTAGAGTACAAGAACCGACCAATCACAGGCGAGTATTCCCATCTTACAATCAAATGAGAGAGGAATGCTCGGCTGTGGTTGGTCAGTTCTTGTACTTTAATCCAACTCTAACCCTGTGGAAACATAGTCAATTTAAAAAGTAAAACCCAAGTGGTATACTATTTTTAATTAACGATAGCCATTGGGAAGGACTGTTTTAGGAGAAAAATGCGGTTCTTATTGACTACTTAATGACTCCAAGTGAGACCAATTAGGATGCAATTTCTGCAATCAGTACTTTGCTTTCCTTTCTGCGATTGTGATTGGTCTCACTGTTCCGTTCCGTGAAAACGTGACCATAGCACATGCGCAGTTCGATACATTATTTCGATGTGACAGGTTTTGTAACCTCAATTGTAATGTACTTTAACAACAAATATGTCGCTTTACGGGACTAGGCACGCCACTTAACTGTCAGATTCTTACGTTTTATGCAAACACGCGTCGAATGAGCATAATTTCATTGAGATTGAAGGTGAGGAGCGTCTTCTGGTCAATTACCTCTTAAATAATGTATTTTGTCTGTATGTCCCTCCATATGCTACATAATATATGATTAAAAAATTGTCATTTTTCTTAAATTTGTAGAAAAAGAATGGAAAAATTAAAAAAAAAAAAGAATATATTTTAAGAGAACAAATTCCTGTATAATTTCTTATATTATATAAAAAATGCATTTTAAGATTAATATTCCAAAATTTTAATTGTTCAAAAGACATAGTTTATTTTCTAGAAAACTTTGTTTTTCGAGTTTTATTGTTATAGCAAATGAGCGACATGTATGTGCAGACATACATACGTTTTAAATACTTTCGTTATATTTAGGCTGTGTTCGTTTATGCATATACTTTAAACAGTTGCAATCATCATTCTGTCTTTATTGTTTTATTTCGTTTATTGGGCAAAAGAGTCCACACCGAACACAACCTTTAATATTCAAATTTTACATTTCTTATACTCTGTCTCAATAACATATTTAGTTATTTTATTCTTTACAGATACTGAATGTTAAAAGAAGTTTAGAATGATGAAAGTTTGCATACATATGTTTAAAAAGGTTCAAACACAGAATAAGTACCATTTCTAGTATAAAAAAAAAAATGAATAATCTTTCTGGACAATTCCGCAAGACAACATGGGATCCCTTCCTCATAATTTCTCAGATAATTGCTGTACAGACTATCATGTATCTTTGTCTTGGATTCTGGATTTGGATTGTTGCATCAATGTTGGAGTGGACAAAATCATTGGATTATGTGTTTCAGTATAAAGAAATACATGTTCGTGACTTCGGAGGACAATTAATTATTGTTATGTTTGTTTTGAATGCTTTTATAGGCGCATTTGCGTTATGGTGGCTAGTGCAAAGAACAAAATTATGCATGGACTTTGCGTGTACAGCCCATTGCATTCATTTGATTTGTTGTTGGGCATACAATGGAACTTATCCGACATCTTTCAGTTGGTGGTGTTTGAATCTTGTATCGTTAAGTATAATGTGCGTCTGTGGAGAATTTCTTTGTATGAGAACAGAATTGCAAGCTATACCTTTAAGTATGAATAGCCAAAAGATAGCCTTATGAGAGGCTACCAGATTTGTCAATTGATAAAAGATTAAACTTAAATAAATCTCTTTAATAAATATATGTCTATCATCAGTGTTAAAATTTGTTAAAACTGCGCATGCGCACGTACACACACACATACACCCTATTAATTTAAATTTTAATGTGTCAAAAAAAAATTTCATAACATTTTGAAAAAATTTATATAAATCAAGCATATTAAAATATTTTTTTGATCTACTATCTGTAAAGAATTCCATCCAACTGTATGGAAATTGGCTTTTTATTGAATTGACTAAATTTTGAATATGTAATTTTTATCATTCTGAATAAATGTTTTTATACAACCAACCTCTCTTCCTATAGTTATAGTTTTCGTGCTATAAGTCATAGATGGTTCAGATTCAAGCCATTTTTTTTAAATTAAATTTCCATGCATTTTTGATATTATATATTATTATTGATAGGCAATAATAAATGATTTATTAAGACTGTGCATAATGTGAATCAATTATTAATACACATCAATTATTAATAGATATACATATAATAAATATATATACATATACATACATATATGTAAATTATTGATGTATGCGTGCGTGCGTGCGTGTACATTTTTTAACAATGCATTTTAAACAAAAATATTAATGAGAATCTTAAACTTGCGAATAATTTTTTGCGAAAAATAATGCCTCAGATCTCCCATATTCCATGCGGACGTTATCTTTGATCATTAAACTTTTTCATGCTGAGCTCAGATTCTTACTTGAGTATCAGTCAGGTATCATTAGACAAGGATAACATGACATCCGGCAGAACGGCTTAATATTTATCAGTCACAATAACGAACAATTATAGTGAAAAAATGTCCTTTTTCAAGAAAAGATATACGTAAACAATCATAAATAATTATAAATATCGTTTAATCGACTTTTTGTTTTACTGAGGAAACACTCATGAAAGGATGTAGAAGGAAATCTTTTTTAAAGTTTCTGTTTCGATAAAATTACTAGACATTTTATAGATATTTTTTTGTTTTATCGAAGAGACAATTTATAAAAGATTATTTCGTTAAAGACTTCTACAAATATAAATTTAAAATTAATGAAAAACGCACTTATATGAACCAAATTGGGCGTTTCACAATTTTTGTGAATTTGCTATCAAAATAACACGCCTGTTTCACATAAGATGCAAGCAGAGATCGTATTGTTATACCTTGGTGTGCACTGTGTAAAAAGTCGATATAATAAAAACAATGATGAATTGAAAAACTATGTAAGAGAAAGATTAACAAAATGTCAATTGGGTAGTTATACGTGCGACATATTGACATTTGCAAAAATGTCGCAATGGCCATTTTTCAAGTTTACTTATTATACTTGTGTGTATATGTGCGAGGCATATAAATTATTCTGTATATGTTTCTCACTGATCATTCATGCGGAATTCTCGTGCAAAATCAGAGATGGACATCCCTTTATAAAACTTCAAATTTCGCGCAACTGTTCGCACAAGTGAATTTATCTATTAGCTTTAACGCGATCAATTTGAGCAAAATCTTTAAATTCTATCTCGTTCTTTTATTATTCTGTTAATATTTCGTCATTAGAGTTTTAACGGCAAAACTACTCTTCTTACATCAGGGAATGTAAACTTTACTATATCACAAAATTATTATATGAAAACAACTTTGTTCTTTTATATCTCAAATTGATTTTATAATACTTATAGTATAAAGTTTATCATTTGCAATAAAGGAATAAAAGTGACTATTATGTATTAAAATCGCATTATGTCGCAACGACAACTTACGTTTATTTTGTGTGCTTGTGTAAACTTCATCACTTTACTTTGTGTCTCCGCACAAATTCATAAATCGAACAATGACAAGAGCAACTACAATTACTATATGCCAGCTTATGCTATTGCTTCAACAGCTTCGGGCCTCCTAAATTTGACATTATGTGAAAAGGAATTACTAAATTTCCGAGACGCTGTCGATCAACGAATACTCTGGGGTTTAAAAGGTATGAAAGATTCTTTCGATTCATAATCATAAATATTTAAAATTAAGTACTTAAGTTTAAAGTCCAAAAATTTAACTAAAAAATTATTAGTTGTACGTTTTAAATTTTTTAATTTCGAATCGTTCAATTTTGTGTCTGCTAATTTAATTATAAATTAATATCAATTGAAATTTAATTGATATTATATGTTTTAAACTATGATATAACATTTAAAGCTATTGTTCATTTATTACTACTACATCAAATTGTGACGTCAGAACCGAAAAAATACACAGTAACAATTTTTGAAAATATATTAAAATAAAAAAATATATTTTTTGATAAAATAACGCTTATAAAAAAATTATATAAAAATAGAGCGTTCATTGATCTCTTTCATCTGATTGATCGTAATAAAAAATTAATAATTTACAGATTTTAATATGTCGATTTACAGATTTTAATGTGTCATTCAACATTATCAGGATTGATCTAAAGATGCACAAAAAGCATAAAAAATTGTTAAATTTTTAGTCAATTTAACTCGTGATATTTTACTGCGATAGTTCAATAGTGTTGCGTTCAAGACTAAAAAAAATTCAACGCGCAATTAAAAATTTACAAACGTAGTATATAAATTCACATACAATTATATAGAAGCACCCGAGATCCAGCTTGACCGTTACAGCATGTTTCTCATCAGTATTTATCGGTTTAAATTCTCACAGTCCAATAAGATTTGATATTGTCTAATAACGTAGTTATTTTATAATAATCGTTATAAAATATGAACTTGTAACAAAATAACTAAAATCAGTCATAACAACAGAGGAAAGTGATATCTTTTATAAGGAGTAACTATAGATAATAACAGATCTGAAAGACTGTTTTTCAAAATCAGTCTAATTTATCATAGAAACATTGATTAACTATTATAATAATCAATAAGAAATACTATTTAATATTTTTTCTAATCTTTAATAACATTTGTCTACCTTTATTTTTAAGTGTTGGATTCTAGCGGTGAATTTCGACCAGGTTTTCTTTATGGAAATAATTATTGGCTGGGCAGTCGTAATCAGTGCTTCGATACGATGAATACTGTTCCTCTACAGATTTCAGAGCGACATTTATTAAATAACACGCTGTATCGTGATCCACAAAAGGAGATTCCACCTTTTAAAGTGAATTACTTTGCTGCCCATTTTAAACATAATAGTACTGTTCAGTATCATATTAATATACTTACCGAAGTAAGTTTATATATCTTGTAACAATAGATAACTATAATAGATAAAACTATACAAAGTTTAAATTATAAATAGCACAAAAAGTAAAAACCATACTATTTTAAGCTTATATCGCTATCTTCAGCTCTGTAATCGTGAATGCAAAATGAATCGTGTAATATTGATGCCTATATAAAACATAAAACAATAAACTGCCTTTTGGGAATTATCTCTTCTTTAAAGTCTAAAAAGAGTGGCCAAATTTCGCATAAAGAAAGATAAATTGAATTATGTTATAAAGGCTCGATAGAAAATTGTTTTTACATATAAACTTGTTTCTAATATATGATGCATGCATACGTGTATGCACGTTTTGCCTAGCTGCCCCCCCCCCACTTAACCAAATCTTAATTTTTAAAATTGTATAATAATGCGCTATTTATGCGCTATACATATTCGCAAATAACAATTTTTGCGCTCATTCCGTTTAGCTAAAAAAAAAATTTTTTTTGTGGGGGGCTCAGTAAGCAGCAAGTCAGCCTCCCCACCTGTTAAAAACAATCGAATTGGAAAATTGAATACACACAGGATTTATGCGATATTTATGCACACAGTTTTAAATTTTGCGCTGCAACCTTAAGGCACTTCCCTCTTGAAGCAAACAGACATATTTTTCACAGCGCATTTGGAGGTGGTAACACCACTAATGTGCTATTCTAAAAACTTATCAATCAACCTGGTATATCTATATAAAAATCTATGTTTTCTTTCTATCGGCCGTTTTAAGCAGCGATGAGAAATGGAAGTTCTGCATATCACACATAATAGTGTATTTTCAATATCGAAATATATTATACAGACATTTTTTATTTCAGGATCTGATTATACTTGGCCTCTGTTTACCAGCATCATGCTCTGCAAATGACATAAGTTTTATTCTGGAAAGAATATTCCGTGACAGAATTCTTCTAATAAGTGACCTTTATTCTGCGGACTTTAAACTGATTCACGTCAAAAATCTACAGGATAGTTATGACTGGCTCACTAGTGGTGTTGTACCTTTCATTTGGTAATTCTAAAGTACACAGTTGATAATATATTAAAATAATACAAATATCGTCTTCCCATATATATAGCATGTATGCATGTATCATACATTAAAAACAAGTTTATATATTTTGAAAACAATTAAATCTAAAGCGGAAACATATATTAGAGAGCTAGTTTGCGTGTATATATTTATTAATTTTATATTTACAGTGTTATTTTACTGCTTTCTATTTTTATGGTAATATTTGGAACAGTATATGATATATTTGTGAATCAAAAATGTTCAAATGAGAAGAATAAGTTTAACAATAGTAAGTATCATAATATGTGTACAAATTAGTTCGGTCCGTTTTTTGCGTTCAAAAATGCATTTAAAAATTATAAACAACAAAAAAAAATATTTATTCAAAATAAATGTATATTTAAAAAATAGAACACCTTATAATCTTTAAAACTGAATCTTTTGCATTCTTTTCGTACGACTTACCATTTCGGCGGTACAATCATTTGAATATCATAGCCACGTTTTTCAAACTGTCAATTTTTGAAACTTAAAGGTAAGCATAATTTCGTGAAAACATTTTTTAAATTTTTTCCTCAAACATTGTTTTATTTTTTTATGTCTGGAAGGTATGTAAAAATTTTCAAAAAAAATTAAAAATGTTGATTTTTTTGGTGCCCGATTTGACGTGGAATCTCCGATATAATCTGTCATTAAGTTCAATTATTTATTCATTTATTTATTATACTTTTATTAATCATTTATAGTTTATACGAACATTCTTAAAGTCAAGATTTTTATATTAATTTTTTATTAAAAATTATTGAATTGTGATTTAGATGAAAAAACTATAATTGAGGAAATGGAAATTGAAAGAGCGTCACAGGAAAGTAGAATTGGACAAATATTAATATGCTTTTCTATTTACACAAATACAAAAATAATATTTAACACGAAATTGCATGCCGATGCGCTGCCTGTTATTCATGGCTTAAAATTTCTAAGTATGTTTTGGATAATAATGGGCCATGTAATAGTTTTTCTGGCAGACTATTTAGGTAAAGTAATTGAAAATAATATGTAGAAAATTAATATATTGTCCGATTTTTATTCATTATATATAACAAAGATTGTTTTCGATACGCAGATAATAAAGTGTGGTGTTGGAAATACGTGTCTAATATAATTATAATCAATATACCCATGGCAGTCGACACTTTCTTTTGTATAAGCGGACTTTTGTTGGTCTATTTTTATCTAAAAAATAAAATGGAAAAAGATCGAATACAACTACTTACTTACAGAGCAAAGATAAATGAATTCTTTGTCCTTGTAATAAAAAGATTTATCCGGTATGTTCTCTTTATTATATTGATAAAAAAACAGTAATAAATGTAATAAAGTAATAAAAACTACACTGTTAGAAATTTTTGTGAGAATTTTTAGAAATGTGTGATAAAGTTTTATGCACACTTACCGCTTCTGGAATTTACTAAATAAGAACAAAAATTTCAGAAACAGTAACTGCATAAAGCTTCAGTAGAAAGGTAAAGATTCACTCCTTCAAAAGCTGCAAATCGCATTTGTGCGCAATTTCGTAAATTTCATATAAAATTTTGAGATCTGTTGCACCTTCATTCATCTATATGTTGGTGTAATTTTATAAAATATCAGTAACATCATTTTTTAAATTATTTTAGCGATCTAAAAAGTAGATTTCAAGCTGTAAAATACTTTTTCAAACATCTCGACATGACGATTTTTGACGAAGTTATTCTATCTTAAAATTTGCCTATTTTTGCAGGATGAAACAAATGAGCCTTTAATTTTGTTAAGCAATGTAATTTAAAAATCAGTGAAATGCATGTAATATATAGGGTGTCCCATAATCAGGTAAATTATGGGACATTCTATATAATTAATGTTACACATTTAACAGTAAGCCAACGATGTTTTTTTTATGCATATTACAATATCATTTTTAGACTGACTCCGAGTTACATGATGGTATTAGCAATATGGCTATTATTCTCGATTTGGTTTGACAAGACCTCACAATTTTTCATAACCGAAATGCCGCACGAAAATTGTTCAAAGTACTGGTGGAGAAATCTTCTCTACATAAATAATTTATTTGGTTTTAAAACAATGGTACAAATAAATTTGATTTAGCACAAAACTAAATATGAAAGCATATACCATGTATAAATTCTTCAAATTCTTTTTTCTGTTAAAGTGTATGAGTTGGTCTTGGTTTATATCAAATGATATGCAATTCTTCGTGATCGGAGTAGCACTGTTAATTTTGTCGATAACGTAAGTTATTTTATGATTACATAACAATGCATATATCTTTGAATTAAATATCAATTATAAATTCCAGATACTTTTATATGGCTGCCTTTATACTGGGTGCACTTTTAATAGGTTCGATAGTTCTCGCTGGTTATTTTTCGTACCTTTATGAATATGTTCCGACGTAAGTTACATAGAAATTGTTTATAAAGGGTTAATTAAAAGAGCATTTTTCTCGTTATTGCAGATTGGATGAACAATATAGGCTTATAGATGAATTATATTTTCCATCATGGATTAGAATAAGTCCATATATTGTTGGAATGATTACAGGCTATATTTTAACACAATTAAACGGAAAATTAATTTTGAAAAAGGTAAAGTTTAATTAATATTTTATGTCTCACTTGTACATATTTAACATATATTACATTAAAAAGTTGAACTACTTCCAAAATAACAATATGCAATATATTAATTAATTATTTATAAATAGTGTAACTATACATAAAGAAAATAATATATTTACGTATAGCCTAGTTCTAAATTAATTATATTATTTAATTTAATTTATTTAACCATATTCTAATTTAATTCAACGTAAATTTTAGAGAACTGTAATTTTATGTTGGTGTCTTGGTATTGCTTGCCACATTATCACGATGGTTAGTGTTTATGACCGACACATATCCATTCTAGCGGCCTCTATTTACGTCGCGGTGTACAGAGTCCTTTGGGCTGTAGGTATAGCGTGGATCATAGTAGCGTGCCTTACTCAGAATGGTGGTTAGTAATATTATTTAATTAATCTTTACACTCCAAATCTGCATAAATAAAGTTTTATTATATATATTAATTTCATAGCCCGTATATTAAATTAAATTTTATTTTTAATTTACATTATTTTTGTAATTGCATTTAAAAATAAGTTAGTTCTTTCTTAATTAAATTATTAAAGTCAACGGGCTCAAAAAATGAAGTAAAGGCTTGAGCATGAATCTGCTCCTAAATGATAAATTCGGTTTATTAAAACTTAGCACAAATGGAGTGGTATTTTTATATTTTAGATTAGAATAAAATATTTAATTAATGATGAGTGTTAAGTAGTAGAGACCGGGACGAAACGCCAAAAATTACGTGATATTCTTCGCAATATATTAGAATAAAATTAAATATTTTAAGGAATTTATTTGCTCTCGTAAACCCTTGTCTCTCTTTATTAGTTTAAAAAACTTAACGAGCCTTCTTATTAATATGTTTTAATATTGCAATATTATAATTTATAAAAATATGTTAATTAATGATTCAATATTTGATTATTACAGGCATCATTTGTCGAATTTTATCATTCAAAGGTTGGGTTCCTCTTAGCAGACTGTCATATTGCGCTTATCTTTTAAACCCAATTATTATACACTCATTTCGTTTGCAAAGTGAAATATCTTTTCACTTTGAACTTCTATCCTTGGTAAGTAAATGAACATTTAAAGTTCCGAAAAGTATAATTTGTTATTATCTCGCAACTTTTTATTTTCAGATACTTTTGGTTGTAGGCTATATTATATTTATTTATATCTGTTCTTATTTATTATCCTTAATAGTTGAAACACCGTATAACTTGTTAATGCGGAAAACCATGCAAACTCGGAGTAGAAGAAAACATAAATGATATAACAGTGAGAAATTATAATTTAGCATACAAAATTGTAATGGATCTATTTGTAACACAATGAACGCGTTCAGCGGACTCAACAGTTGAATGAGCGCTCGCTGTTATTGTTGTATTCTTCTAGATCTAAAATTCTGATTGGACAATACGCGCTCACTCAACTTTTCAGTCCGCTGAATACGCCCATTGATAATAAATGCATATAGATATGTATATAGTAATTATAATCGCTCGTTCAGAGATTTTGTGCGCCCTATATTAAATAAAATTTATTTTAAAACGACACATACTTATATAGATTTATATTCTCAGTTTCGATAAAGCTTAAAACTTTACTAAAATTAAATTGAAAATAAATTAATATGTTAATGGGGAAGGTTCCGATTGCTTCACGCACGATTGCACACAAATTCCCTCCCCTATTGGCCAATTTTCAAGTAGAGATTTCAAGCTTAAAAATGCTTTTTTAAACATCTCGATCGATTCGACGATTTTTGACGAAGTTATTTTATCTTGAAGTTTGCATGTAGCCACTGAACAAAATTAAAGACACTTAAAATGAGCGTTAAAAAAACCAAACTCAAATTTCACATATCTCCTCCGAGAAGAACGGTTGCGAAGCGATGTACGAAAAAACTTTTTAAAGCCATAACAAATGTTTTTAATTGTAAGTAAAGTTTAATATTTTCTCTTTAAAATTTTTATCATTATATTACAATTTTTTTCACTGAATAATTTGTAAGTGAGTAATGTATTATGTATAGTCTTTTCTTTTCTCTGAAAATTTCTAAAAATGTTGCTGCCGGTATTAGCATTATATCCGAGGTGTACCACAGGGAGGTTACACCAGGTTACACGGTCGGATTTACATCTCGTGTGCGTGCGTGTGTGCGTGTGAGTGCATTGGGTGAAATGCGTGGGTAACAACAAATAATTAAGTTAATGCGAATTTTATATCTTATAATGCGCGTCTACATAAAAATAGAAGTTATGTTTTTTTTAATGCAGATTTACAGCTCGTTTTTATCAAATATAATATGTAAGTGCATTTCTGTAAGTTTCTGTAATTAGCTATAATTATAAAGACTTTGAATACACTTGGAACTTTTCCAATGGAAACAAGGACAGTGAACCACTTTCTCCGAATTGACTTTATAGATCATGAAATTACACATTAAAATGATATGGGTAACGCTAAAATTAATAAGAAAATTGGAGAAAAAAAATGAAAAATTCACTTATTTCAGCTCTTATACATACCTGTCACTTGAGGTTATAATTAACTTATTGTAGAAATTCTGTAGGTCGTACATACCAAATGATACCCTCGCACCAAGCATCGTATGACGTGCACAAATAATCCTTTAATTAATGGCTCACGCCTCTAGATAATGAATAGGAGGATTAGGAGGACGATACGGCGCACACATAATCACAAATAATCCGAAAGACCCCTCTTTCTTAATTCAAATAAGTCAAGCGGCCAATGATAGCCGCGCGTGGTCTTCCCGCGCTACTCGGGCCAATCACTCGGTATAGTGACGTACCAGCGGGAGCGTCGCATCGCGACAGCGCCTCAGGAGGCTCTTAGTGGAACTAGGACGGACGGGAGTCGGTAGAAAAGAACAGACCTGAGCGCCGCAGTTAACGCCTGCAACGCCACAGTGTGTCTGTGTGCGGCAGCTCTGATCTCTGTGGAACTTGGAAGGCAGTGGAAGGTTGGAGGGATATCTGAGAAAGGCTGGCCAAGTCTACTCCAAATACAGTCTACCTCGTTTACGAGGACCAGCCGGGGGGACTAGGATCAATAAAATACTAAAGAAGAAAAACGTGATATTTATTTAACATGTCGATCGATCATAGTGGCAAAGGTTACACTCCTCTTCCACAAAGTCTAAGCAATACTGATACCGAAGATGAGGAAGAACGTATAACTCAACCTAATGATGTTGCTTTCAAAGCTAATAATACTACTATAGCGGTAAAAGAATATATTCTATATGACTTTAATTATATCTCTGCATGTGTATATGTGAAATGTACTGCAGAAATAATGCACATGTCATTACAATTATACCTCTATCTGTAAATATTTTTGATATATAGTTTTGGTAGTTATACTATTTAGTCTGGGTAGCTTGAAATCAATAAAATTGGTTTTATTTGTTGTTTTTTTTTATAAAACGAAAGAATCTAATAGAAAAAGAGCGTTGTTCTACTTTGTGAATCGAGATATTAATTATTAATTGTTAAACTTAACAATTATTCAAGTTAGGAAACAACAATGGTATAGAGACACGAGAACATGTGAATGAGGGTAGAATAAATATTTTCTGCTTTACTGCTATGCCTCCATAGTCTAAACCTGTATCTACAATGGATTTTTAAGCCTTATGTTATAAGAAATAGACGAATTACAGTCGATTATTCACTTCTTATTTGACTGTAATTAGTCAATTTCTTATGGCTTAAGGTTTAAAGCATCTATTGTATATCCAGACTAAAGGCTTCGAACATTCTGGATAGATCAAAATAATGACATTATTTTAAAATACTTGTAAAAATAGACTGAAACTTACCCATGCAAACCTTACCTATTTCCCCTCTCATCAACAATCGGTAAATAATCGTAAAATGAAAATATGCATAATAGGCTTTTAAATCTATTTTTATTTCACGTGTTCTTTACAATTTAACTCGTGATATTACTGCGGTAATTTAGTAGAGCTTGCATTTCAAGTCTGAAAAAATCCGGCATACAGTTAAAAAAAACTACATATATAAATTCATATGCACAATTATACAAGCATCTAAAATCCAGCTTTGACTATTAAGGTTTGTTTCTCATTAGTTCTACATTTAATATCTCATTCTTTTTTGTTTAGGAATTACATTCGAATCATGAAAATGGGACGTTTCATCCATTGGATGAAACACAAAATTTAGAAAATAATACGAGAAACAGACAAAATATAATCAAATGTTATCAAGATGATATACCAATAATGGTAATTGAAGGAAGTGACCAATATGACGTTTGGAAAAGAAGAGATATATCGCCAATGAGGCGCTTTTGTTTATTTATGTCTATATTATTATGCATTATTACGATAATTATTTTTTTATATGTATTACCTTGTGATAGTTCAATGATTTGTTCACCAATTATTGAACCACATTCGTCTATATCGTGGGATAAAACATTGCAAGATGTAGGTGAGTTTATTAGTGTGAACAACATATTGCTATTGTAATGTCCACGCCTTGCCGCCACCTAAAATTAATACATTATGACATTCTATGATATTTGCATTAGATATTAATAAAATTATTTAATTAAATATAAAACTATTATGAAATAATAATACATGATAAAAGTTAGTAGTCAATGAATCATCTTAATTTTGTCCTTAACAATTAAGATGATAAAAATTAAGATCATTTATTGACACACTGCGCACTTTCACACTTATTTACTCACTCACTTACTCATTTATTCATATAATTTTAGTATATTAATTCAAAAAACTTTTGTTAAATATAGAAATATATGGGCCTATTACTGTAATACCTGGATCTTCGTATAATCTAATATTTCTTCTTCATGGTGAACAATATAAAAGAAATGATACAAGGGATGAAATGACTCGTCAGCGGCAGATACCTCCAGAAGGAGGAGGAGTCATATCTATGCAAGGAAATAATGGATTACCATTATGGCTGGTTCCATTAAAACGATTGCCTACTATTATAGATTGTACTAGTATTGACATTGATCAATCTGGAAAACCAGACTGCATTGTTGCTGGTGAACGAGGCCTACTCATTAGCATAGAACCGATCGCTGGAACAATTCATTGGAGTGCTACAGCTCGCACAGTCCCTAGATTACCAGTTATTATACCAGATATTAATGCCGACAATATTGAAGATTTATTGAGTATAGCAGTAGATGATGCAAATATATCATCTCTTGTTTTTTTATCTGGCAAGACTGGTCAATTACTGGAACATTATTCAATTAATAATTGCATTCCCACTGATATATATAATCTTGTTATTAATGGCAATATATCCTATCAGTGTTACGACAATGCAAAATGTACGTTATTTTTAAATGTTTCTCTCTTTATGTTTAAGTTTTTATTTATATTATTAAAAAGTATTTATTTGTGTGTTGCAGATGTTACAAAATTTATGTCTTTAAAAGGATTGCTTCATAATTTAAAAATAACACAAATACATAAAAACTTTGCAGACTCTACGGTATTGCCACGATTATTCGAAATCACAAAATCATATGAAAATGAATATAGTTGGAGACCTACTCCTTATCATCATTTGACTATAGAAAACGAAGGAGTATGTCCAGGACAATTTTGCCGTACCAATATAAATCTAACTTTGCAGAAATTAACAAACGAATCAATAACCCTATGGGATCATGTGAGTTCGAACACATTTGCATCGAAACCAGTGTTTTTTGTAACTTTGAATAAACTTTATACTACTGGATTTGCTATTAAATTTTGGCAGTGGATGGATTTACCGTTAGAATATACAGAGAAAGTAACTATAACAGAACAAACACTTGTAGAAAAAGTTCTTATAGTTTTTGTGAATTATACTGATATTCGCATTAACGCTAGTCAGTATGATGTAATACAATTGTGTCATAAACTTAATTGTCAACCAAATTTAGATTCGCGAAAACAATTTACTTCCATTGAAATCAAATACATCAATAACAATGAATTTCCAGAATTGATAAGTTATTGGTCTTCATACAACACGAACTCAATTTATACATTAATTTCGAAAATACAAGTAATAAGAATGGATTCCATAATGTCTAATTTAATACATGGAAATGTTTAATTTTGTCGTAAAACTGTCGTATTTTATGTTTTAGCATGTCTGATTTTATTTGCATGTTCTGTTACTTAATGATGATTTGTTTTGCAGTCGTCAATCATCTCAAATAAAATATCTCTTTCATAAAAGAAAAAAATAGAATATCAAATTAATTATTAATGAATTTATTCAACAGATATGAATTTCATAAATTTTCTTAATCCTTTTGAAATACAGCAATTAAATTTTATGTTTTAAACAAATATATTTTTTGGAAATTTTTTAAAAACATTGATTAAAAAATCAATATTAAATAATTTTTTGACGTCTTTTACAAAATTTGAATCAAGCATGAATAGTTATGATATAAAACATTTTTTATTATGTAGTACATATTATGAATTGTATTGTTAATTTTAAATTTTTAATTGATCTGAAGTCTAGTCATAAGTATATTTTAATTCTCTGACTTTTAAATTCAGTATTATTGACTAACAATAATAACATATAAGTTAATTATTTAATATTTTAAAACGTACTGATTAAATTTATGAGAAATCTATTACAAACTGAAATATTTAATTAAAGCAATTATGTATGTATGATATAATTTGTATATATCTTTAATGTAGTATAATGTATCAAATAAATTATACTAGTAAATTATAATTATCAATTTAATATAGTTACGAATTTAGATAGAGTTCTTATTTCCTTACTGTGCAACTATATTACATTATATAGATTGCGTTACAGGGTATTTGGTAAAGCAATAATGCTTAAGGATAGATTCTTAAGATCAATTTGAGACGGAAGTCTTAATATCGAAGCTATAATAGTGTTTAAATTATAATATAAGTATTTAATATGTTAGCGAATATTGTCTAAAATTTGCACGTTCTGTACCACATCTTAATATATCAATTTTTTGATAATAGCTCCAAACAATTTTTTTCATAATATTGTAGGAGTCAAGATAAATTCAACGCACTGTCGAGAATGTTACTTTTATTAGTGGTTTTTTAATTTTATATGTATAAACGCATATGTATCATAAATATTTATTAAATAATAAAGAAAGGCTATGTAGCTTATGTGAAGAAATTTTATTGACAGATTTTTAACGTATGATTTCTTTAACAGATGCCTATTGGACATTAAAAGTTTAATTGTGATATTCTAATAGTTTAGCTTCGTTTTTAAGTTCGATAAAATTTCGACGCGCAATTCAAAACGATTACAAATATGGTATACGTGTGTGTGCGTGTGTAATTCAATTAAATTGTTAAGGTATCAAAGATCCAGCTTCAACCGTTATGTAAGCCTTTAATTTATATTTATTATTTATTTTGTTCTCACATGTACGGTCTAATAAGATTCTTGTTTTAATTTTATTAATTTTTAACTTATATGCAAAATACTTAAATTGTTTACCTTTTACAACACAAAATTCTGTTCTTTCTAACAAATTATTATATATATATTTTTTTATTATATTTTATGTTATTTCAGTTATATATTATTATATGTGTGTTATTAATTATTATTTCAAAGTTGCACAAACTGTAATTATTTCTTCTTGGAGATTTTGAATATTATTTGTGTGAGCACAAAAAAATTCTGTCCCTATAAAAAAACCTTATAAAGATAAAAAAAACTACGCCAAGTACGTAAATACATTCAAAAGTGTGCAATAAAAATAAAAAGAAACTTATATCTACTCAAAAGTTAACTTTTCAAAAATGAGTGTAAATACAAATAGCCAAGTAAATTATTATTAAAAAAAAAAAACTCGAAAACTTTATCAAAAATTATTTGTAAAGATAGTAGGAAATGGAAGTAACTCGTTACTTATAACGAAATTAAAGTTATACGCGTTACCAATGCAGCCTATGTTTGAAAAAATGGACCGGGCTATACCTCGTGCGGTCAGAACGTTTCTCTTCATTATTATAATTTCAAAATTAATATCTATATTAATATTGCGAGAATTGCTAAACAGTATAAAACTTCTGTATTTATTTCAATCCTATCTATCTTTCTATGCGAGATTGGAGAAGTCTCGCAGGACATCCTGTATATGTACATATTTTTATATTAATAAACAATATTATTTATATATATTTGAATTATACACACACAAATATACAAATTTAGTTTTTTATTTATCATAAAAAGTTATGTATGAAAACGTTAAAAGTAACAAACAAGATTATGATACACTATTTTTTAAATACATCTTATTCAATAAGATCTTATAAATATATCTTATTAATATAACGATATTATTAATAATTAAATTATGCAATATTGCTATTATGATGCATATATACATCTTTACTTGCGCTATGCACACATGCATACAAATATACTCATACGAAACTATTATCTTTATTAAAATCATATAAGACATTAAAAAAGTATCAAGAGACGCGATAGTGTCTCGGCCATATTAAAAAAAGTACTAGTTAATTTAAATTTAAAAGAGATTAATAATAGACACTACTCTTATCCCCCCCGAGTCACCGAAGTCCATTTTTGGAGGGTACATAACTACTAAAAAATAAAAAATTTTGAATCGCACGTAATATCCTGAAAGGCGGCATCGCCACGAGTAATTTGAGCTGAAAAAATTTTAAATCGATCAAGCCATTTTCTGGACATACAAGTGGTCAAAAAGTGACGATTTTAATGAAAAAGTAAGAAATGTCTCCTCCTTCTCTGTCAGCAGTCATGTGCACCTCTCTTCTCTCTCACCTTTCACTCATACCTCCGTCAACTTCGACCCACCACACCCCCTCCCCCTCTCCCATTACTCACCCCCACTATCCCTCTTTTTCGTTGTATTTTTCACTCTTTCGTTTTATATAATATTTTAAAATCTTTTTTATATATACTTGTGATATATCTGTACTCTAAAGAGTAAGTGATATCCTAGAAAAATCATAACATAAAAATGAAAAGATCAAGTCATGTTCAAAAAAAGATCCTCACACAAAAATTTAAACCTTTTTATTTAATAATAATATATTATCATTAAAAGTAACTGATATATTATTAATTAAAGATGCCAGTTCAAAGTGAATCTGTCTGGAGGCGATTCGAAAATTGGCCGAAAATTGCATACACTTTATGTATGTTCACTTTGAACTGGCACCTTTAATTAATATATCAGTTTAATGATAATATATTATTGTTAGATAAAAAAGTTTAAATTTTTGAGGATCTTTTTTTGAACATGGCTTGACCTTTTCATTTTTATAATATTAGTTTATACATAATACTTTTAAATTGCTATAAGAATCTTTATAAATTACTAAAATTTATTTAACAAGGATAATATTATTTTACATGATTTTTTCGAAATAAAATAATTTTGAAATAGACGAATCTCAAATAGATAATGTTAGATAACATTGAATTCAGTCTTCTGTATCATATTTGATTTGCAAAATATATTTCTTTAATATATAGTTTAGAAAAAAATAAATTCTCCATAATTTTGATATAATTCTTCATAATTTCTATATAAATATGTTTAATATATCGTGGAATTATGAGATTAATAATATTATTTTAGAATACTTGTTAATAGAAATAGAAATATTAATTTTCTATTGTATTAAATTCTATTGTATCTCTATATTTATAATCTGTCAATATGAAGGAAACTGTTATCTTTGGTTGCTTAAAAAAATTAATTTGCCTTTTGTTATTGGCCTGTATTTTGACTATTTTTATTACGATTGCGCAGTAATGATGTATCCGAAAGAGAGTAAGTCCCGGGTTCAAATACTGGTGGATATTCTAAACCAGGATAATCAGGCGGTGGAGATGTTGGTGGCGGTATGTATGGTAGTACTGCAGGTACCAAGTTCCTACCAAAATTTAGAAAGTCTTTGTAATTGGATGAATATCCACCGTCATACTGGAAAAAAAATTAAATTATATAAAATTTGTAATGTAAAGAAAATATTTGAAACAAAGAGAAAAACAATAATATAATTTCTTACTTTCTCTCTCAATTAAATTTTGTTATATCTCCTTTTTCAATATATACATATACACACAACAATAGAGGATCACTTTAAAACCTACATATTTTGTCGATATTTAAGAAACTGTCCCCTTCCAGAAATCGCAGGACAATTTTTCTAAGTGCGTTTTAAAGGGTGAAACTTCTACTTTGAAACAGTTAATATGATATTTGCCGTCCCATCGAATGATCTTTTTCGCGAAGACCAGAAGCAAGTTGTGTTAAAATTCTGAAAATTTCACGACTTTTCAATTTCTCCGGACAAAACACGAGTAGTTTGAAAAATTGAAAAATCGTGAAATTTTCAGAATTTTAACACAATCTGCTTCGCGAAAAAGACCATTTGATAGAACGGCAAATATCATATTAACTGTTTCAAAGTAGAAGTTTCGCCCTTTAAAACGCATCTAGAAAAATAGTACTGCGATCTTTGGAAGCGGAGAGACAGTTTCTTAAATATCGACAAAATTTGCAGGTTTTAAAGTAATCCCCTAATTGTTGTGCATATTTTCTGTGTTTCATATTATTTATCACTTTTTTTGCGTTGCTCTCCATACTTTTAATTAATCATGTAAGATGTTTATGCATTAAATAAGAAAACAGATTTAATTGTACTCACTTTTGATTTGATAGAGGATGTTATTGCATCCGGATCATTGACCGAATTGACTGAACAGAATGTTTGAGTTTGGGAAGGATTGTTGTTGTTGAAAAAACTGTAAGACTGATTGATCCCATTATCGCCAGAGTTTGGACTACCGAAAGAAGTAGATAATGGATGCTGCAATTGATCAGAGCAATACTTATCTCGAAGTGCTTTATGCGACCGCAGTGAACTAGTTTCTAGAATTCAAAATTATTTGTCGTCAAAATACATTACATATATTATATTCAATAAGTCAATAATTGTATTTAATAAAAGTTACCTGATATGGTTTTCTGAGCATTTTTAGGAAGCTCCAAGGAACAGGATTTTTGTTGTTTCGCACCGAATAAAACCTTCAGGCGACCGGTTTTCTGTACATGATCGTTTTTATCTAAATGCATCTCGAATGTGGCACGCATTTCTTCTTGTTCAAAAGGTGATGTCAGTATTGGTGGTGGTTGATACTGTGCAACATTTTTCAGACGATTTTTATCACAGTTTGAGCTTTTCTTGTCGTTATATTTCAAGGATTCCAGCCAGTGTTTGTCGGAAGAACTGTTATTATGATTATTACCAAAATTAAAACTCCCCTTTCGATTAATCGATACGTCTTTCTTTATGCATTGCTGCGTCTCAGATGATGTATGATTCGCAAGGTCATGATTGGATCCAGAATATCCTACACAAAATCAAAATAGATTTAATTAAACAGAATTTCATAACACATTTAATTAGTAAGATTATTCAAATTCTAATTTCGTCGAGATATTGTCATTTTTAATAAGTTTTTGTACATGAAATCCTTTACCATACCAATATTTCTCGGTGAAAGATAATCGTGCATTTTGTTGCTTTTACAATTGGGAGATTGTCTATGTTTGTTAAACTCATAGTCTACATTCTGATTTGGAGAATTCTGCTTGTTTGGATTTATCATATTTTCCCAATGAGATAAATCGTCATGTCTTTGAGTACTCATAAGTTCCTGCACTCTTCTCTTCTGTGCATAACTTGATGAATCCCATACCTTTTTCAATCCAATTGTCATGGACCTGCCACAGGATTTATCATTTGCTTCACTTTCATATCTAGTAGCAACAAAATTATCCTTGAGAAATTGGCAAGGCGCGTGTGCATTCTTGTTCTTCGAGTGAACATACATAATATTGTTGTTTGGTATTTCATCGCTAGTTTTGTCATAAATATTGCTGGTATTATTCAAGGATATGTTACTTAATTGTCTAATTTCCTCATTATACATCGTTCTATCATTCAAGTTTCTATGCTGTACATGAACGTGATCGTTAAGTAAAGGCGTTGTACGCGTAGATATCGATTTGTTTATCATAGCACATCGTTGCTCCTCATCTTGTTGTGATATCGCGAATTCTTCTTGCGTGATAGAACCTTGCAAGTTTTCTGATTTTCTACCAACAAATTTACATATAATATAATAATTGATATTGTCAAATATTGGATTTGTAAGGAATATTTTTGCGATATAGAAAATATATAAGATAAAAATTGTCTAAAAACCTGTCTGCATGTCGATAATCATTCATATCTGGGTCCGATATATCTGTAACATTTTGAGAAGTGCTCGAGCCATAAAATGTACTACCAGCGATTGTCATTTGCAAATCGGGAGAATTTAAATTACAATCTTCTTTTCTGTAAAACATTCGAAATGTTTAAGGCCTTAAAAATATAAGATAAGAAATTCATCTCTTTATTGTTAGTTTTGGATTATACTAAGAATGCGATTTTATTCGTTAGAAAGTAGCAAAGTTTTCCTCCCATTAGTAGTTGCCGTCGTTAGAATTAGAATGCATGTTTGCATTTTTATTTGATTTATGTAATTTGTTAAAGCTTACACATTTTGTTTCGTATATGTTAAGAATCACAAAAATTGTTAAAAATATTGTGCTACAAAATATTTACATATGGTAACTATATCAATTTAGAATATCCTTGATATACTCACTTGTTTGATGTCGATGTATTAGGAAGCACTCGTCTATAACTTCTAAATTGGGCCGTTGGAACAGGTATATTTCTGGCACTAAGAAATTTTAAATATTTTCGATCCAAGCTCGCAGCACCGATTTCGTGATCCTTAAAAGATCCGGCATCTTTTCGTATAGACTTTTTCAGAGAACCAAATAATTTCTCCGGATTTGCTTTGTAAGATTGTGTGTATTTTAATTTACTCTTATGATTTTCGCTATCGCTCTCATCGGTTTCGCTAAAAAGCTCAACGCTTTGGTCCTGAGTATCCGTTCCTAAAGTGCCTTTATTAACTGCGTCCAGCCACAGAATTAAATTGTCTTCGGTATCAGCAGCAAAATAAAACACTGTCCCCGTGTGATATACTTTGAAGGAATACTTCCTTGATTTTACTTCGGTAGCCGGGGATACAGTAAAACCCGTTAATACAATCAAGCAGTCAGCTTTTACACTGTCCTGTAGTTTGAATCTAAATAAAAACGAATTTATATATTTAATCAGTTGTACGTATATGATTTATTTATCATAATATGTTTTATACAATTTTACCTGTACAACGATGAACACTTTAATACAAACCAGGCTTTTGCCCACGCGCCACCTGCTCCTCTACTACGATATGTCAGCCATCCTTCTAAATCGCTAGTACCAACATCTCTTACGGATACATTCCTCCTCTCTAATAAGAAAATATATTTTCTCTGTATTATAAGATTCAATTTAAGATATAGATATTGTTTTAAAAATAATAGACACATATCGAAGTGCAACATATTTAAATAAATTATATAAATTCATAATATATGTTTGAATAAACTGTAAAAATATAGATTCTTTTAATATTGTTATCAGAACAAATATCTTAAATAAGAAAAAAATTAATAATTAATTGTACTTACTCGCTAATAACACATTCCGTTTTCTACTGCTTCTTGGACTATTATTAGATTTGTTCAAACTACTATGCAAGCCGATACTTTTAGCTACCATCATAGCTTTATTAACAACACTTTTCTCAATGTTTTTATCCTTCTCTGATAATCTTGGCTTTAAATCTGATGGTATTGTTTGTTTTGAGTATGTTATACCATCAGGACAATCGACAATGTGAGAGTGATCAAACCTATAACAGTCTGTTATGGATTGATCCGAGCAAACGAATTTTTCAACAAATGTTTCATATTTTTCAAAAGGATATTTTTCTTCTCTTGATTGTTTGTCATTATTTTCATTATACAATGAAGCATCTGATAAGTTTGAACGATCAATTTTTTGATCGCTTAAACTTACAGTTCGTGATTCGCCAATAAAGTCCATCGAATTTTCTGTGTAATTAAGCATATCTGAGGAATCCTTTTTATCTTGACAATCCGAATTACTCCTAATATGATTAACACATAAACTTAAATCTACTTTTTTAAATTCTTGTTTAATGCCGAATCTCTCTGGAACTTGAGGTTTTTGCAAATCCTCTAAAGTTTGTGGAACATTATCTAATTTCAAATCAGTTATTGCTTGGTTCGTATAATATTTACGAGGCGGTGGTTCTGGGGGTGTTACATGAGATTTCGAACAGAGTTTCTCAAGTTTTCGAACAGACTGAATCTTTGGTAACTCTATAAAGCGACAAGATTGTATCGTGACCCGTGCCGAAGGCAAGTCTGTAGATTTCGCTTCTTTAATTTGTTGCTTTATATTAATTTGCGTCTTTGAAACATTATGAGTAACATTCACTGAATCATCTTCAATAGATTTAGTATTATTATTTAGTGATATCATTGATTCCATATAATTCTCTCTTAATAGCACTGAGGAAAATTTTTTTTCAAGCAATTCTGCATAAGTACAATTAATTGTTTCTAAAATTTTATCACATTTTGGCAACGTTTGAGTTCTTTCGATTCTATTGTTACTAATAATACCGGTACTACTACTTGCACTACTATTACTATTATTGCTACTACTACTACTACTATTATTATCGCTATTACCACCACCAATGTTACTATTACTACTACTATTGCTATTACTATTCTGTCTACTATTACTACTATTACTATTATTGTTACTATTACTACTATTATGATTATTACTACATTCATTTTCACTGTTAGACATTTCTGAGATACCGCAATGAGCATTCTCATGATATTCGCATGCTGAATGTTTTAAATAAGCAATTTGGAGGTTTTTATTTGTAGCAATTTCACATTCAGTATTTAATTTTTTGACAGTATTTAATTTCTTATTGTTTACATCCAATATATCATATTCAAGATTTTGATTTTTCTCCTCCGTGCTATTTTCAAGATTTACATCATTTTTTAAAATATATTCATTATTTTTATATAGATCTGTTCTTTTAGGCACTCCAAAGGCACATTCCTGTTCTTCTGTATTCTCATACGCGATCTGTTTCTCGATGTCATTAATTTTTTGAGCGACATTACCACCGTATTTTCCAGCAGATGGTTCTTTACATTTGCTGCTTGCATCTTCCAATTTTTTATTATCATCGTTCTCAACAACTGTATTAATATTAATTTTTGTTAAATTATTATTTGGTGTATTGATTAAACAATGGTCAAATAAGTCTAATCTCTCAATGTCTGATAGATCAGAGGTAGTATAATCTTTATCTAATTTATCACGCTTTTCAACGTATCGCATGCCGATTTCTTTATTATTTCGCTTATTTTCATTAATACTACATGTATCACTAACAGAACTATTAGATTCAACTAAAGGCACGGTCGTATCATTTACATTATTGCTATCAATGGTATTATTCGTGAATGTTTGCAAATGTTCTATATTAATATCTTTATTTACAATATTTGCACCAACATCACAGTTTTGCATAGGAGTAACCTTTTCCTTCATATTAATTGGATGCATGCTTTTAGCATCAGTCAAATTTTCCTCAAATTGCACTCTTTTATTCGTTTGCTCATTGTTCTTCCTTTTCGCCGATTCTAATCCTAAACACGTTTGAGGCCGTATATTTACCATTGGTACATTATCCAAACCATGGGCGCAAGATGCTGCTTTATCACGCAATTGAACAGCCGCATTGTGCTCTAATTTCAACTCCTTCCAAAACCGTTCGAGATTAATACCATGTTTGGATGTAGGACTGGCACCTGTTATTGTAGCTCGCCTTTGGACTAAGTTTCTTCGTTTAGCGTAAAGTGGCGTTTCTGCTTCGCTGTCAGAATCACTACTATCTGTAGTCATTGTATCCAACATTTTAACTGCATCTAAAATACTCGTTGGCTCTGCACCGGATTTCTTTGGCATATGTCTACATAATAAAAGACATTTTTGTTATACATGAAAATAAAAATTTTGTAACTAAATTCAAAATAGAAAATATGATATACGTATATGTTAAACTAAAGGTCAGCGCGCGCACATTTACGTGGTAAGTGTCCTAATATTCGCGACTTAAAATATTATAGCAAAAGAGTTTTTTAAAAAGTTAAGTAAAGAAAGTTATTGCATATTTTTATTTTAAGCAATACTTTCTGAGATAATGAGAGTTTAAATATAGTCAGTTACAATTTATGTTTACTTTTCAATTTGGTACAATAGTTTTTCTTCTGTACTGTAATCACCAAATGATTTATTTCTTCATTCTGTGCATAAAAATAATTTAGATACAGTTATCAAAGATGAATAGTTTATGAAACATTTTATATTTTGTGTCAAAATATGTCAGAATAAAATATACAGGTGATTACATTGTCAGGATCATAGTTCAAAAAACGTGTTTTTCACTTGTGGAAATAAAATGGGTATATTAAAGTTTGTACACATAATAATTTTTAATAAACAGTTGTGCATTAATGTGCACTAAAAAGGTAATTTAAGATTTGTATGTAATTATTAGGGATGCACCGAATATTCGGAAAATATGCGGTATTCGATACTGTTTTACTATCCTGCCAAATAGTCGGATATCATTAGTATCCAGTAACATATCCGGTTGAAACTTTATATTGATAGTTTGCGTCATTAATGCAAAATTTTATTCTTTGCAACTGAATTTCTCGCACAGTTCATCTCTCTTTCCTCTTTTTTATATTGAAAAAATAAAGGAAATTATTATCCCTAGTTTTCTCTTGCTGTTCTTTTTTTGGAAAACCATTTTCCAGATATCCGACAGGATATTCGGAGACATATCCGGTATTCGGCTGGATAATTGCTCTACCGAATATCGGATATCTAAAAATAGTTGTGACACCGGATATCCGATATCCGATAATTTTTCGCACTCAAACTTCAGTGTCCTAATTATTACAAGTTATCAATATCTAGAGAATAAAAATTATTAATAAATAAAGATTTTATTTAAAAATAAAGAATAAAAATAAAATATAAAGATTATTTAAAAAAATGCTTCCTAATTTTAATTTAAAAAATAAATTCAATAAAAAAAATTACGTCAAAGAAAAAAGATTTATATAGGAAAATATTATCAAATTAAAATTAACAATAAGATTTATATAGGAAAATATTATTATAAAGCTATTTTCATCCGCATATTCTTGAGAAATTGTTCACCTTTTTTCAAAACACTTTGTATATACGCATATGTTATTAGATAAGAAAGAATATTAGCCAGATCACAAATAATAAAAGTACATATAAAAAGATTGCTTACCTAGGTGATGGCATTGCAAAGTCAGGTATTGTTAATAATTCTGGTCTAGGGGATGGAAGACTGCGTCCTTGTGTTGCATAAGAAGTGTTTTTGTTACAGGGAAGTTTATATGGTTTTATGTAAATTTTGCCATAAACTTTAGCATGCCTTGGCCTACGTTTTATAGTCAAAAGCATTTCTGCTGGACTTTCACGAAATAATTCAAGCAAATTTTTTCTCTCCCAACCAACTACCGTTTGATAATTTACCTAGTAGAGAAAAGATGCATTTAAAAATTAAAATTTGTCAAAATTTATAATACATGAATATGAGAAATACATAAACATAAGACATTACTTGAACTATCTGATCACCTTCCATCATTTTACCAGATTGATGTGCGGCAGATCCAAGCTTAATTTCAGTTATTTGATGTACTCCATGAAAAGATGGTAAAATATAAAAACCCTAAGAGAGAGAGAGATAATATTTCAATCATTAAATAAATATATTTTGTATATTGTATAATATGACTTGATGAAAGCTTTTATTAACATAGGATATGATAATAAAATCAGTTTGGAACTATTTAATAAATAATCTCAACCTATCATAAACCATATATTCTAACACCACACAATTTCTCATAGATTGAAATCTGTTAGCCCCTCTGTTGCTATCGCTTGTGTTTTCCAATTGTAAATTAGGCTTTAATTCTCAACCATGATCAAGTTAAATCAACATGAGATATAATTAATATTTTTCGTATAATATTTAGAAAACTGGATATAATAAAGTAATTGAAAAACTGTTAGATTATAGAAAACCTACCAAATCGTCGCTGGATTTCTTTTTTAATGTTGCTAAATCTAAACTTGCAGGCTGCAATATCATAGGATCAGTGATATCTTGAATAATATAATCTGCTAATGTGGCTAGTTGGCTGCAAATTGTTCGAATTTCTTGGACGGGCTTTTCAGCAAATCTATCTCTATACGCGCACGTAGCCATTTCTATTGACATTTTCATCAATTCAACTTTCTTAGCATGATATTCTATGTGGCCATTAAATGGAGGATAATCCATCCATCTCACTAAAGGTTTCACCACCATCATAATTGATGCTACATCTGACAATGTTTGAGTACTAACAGATTCTGAATTTTTTTGTCGACACAGCTCTTTGTGTAAGCTGTGTGCTTGGCTTGAAAGTCGTAATGCTAGCAACTGTAGATTCTCTTTATCCAATTCATAATGAAAACTTCTAAGATATTCCATAGCATTAAGGATAATCTCTTGATGACCAAGCTTTATTACACCCAAACGTTCTAAATCTTCCGATTGTATGTTCAATAATTGTTGTCCATTGACATTGTGATTTAGAAAACTATGAATATATGGATGTATAGTATTATCCAAACCTGTGGCATGAAATAACGATCTCATGATAACATTCCTGCTATGACTTACAACAATATTTATGATGACATTATTTAATATTCGTACAAACTAAAAACGTTAGATTCAGAATACTAGTACAAAGTTACCTAACATAAATTCTGAATCACAGCAATAACAATTTTTAGTTTAAATTACAATAATCAATATCATTAATGAATAGCAACGATTACATCAGTTAACGTCAGATTTTATTGGACATGCAAAAAATTATATAAGAATTATTTAACAAGATCAAATACGATTGAGTAGACGAATAAATAATAGTCTCTTTTACACATTAATGAATTGAACTTAATTAATATCTTACAAGATCAAATACGATTGAGTAGACGAATAAATAATAGTCTCTTTTACACATTAATGAATTGATACAGCAGAGAATAAATTGAAATGAATAGAAACAAAGCAGGGCGTATGTACAGAGAGGAGAGAATGGAGTTTCTACACGAAACTGAATAGGATTCCAACATACTTTCACGGCACAATCTATTTCTCAATTTTTCTACGTCTAGCTGGAGATGTAACGTCACACTGATTAAACATTTTCGTCGTACCTTTCAACCACTCGCACACTTGATCCGCTTTCCATTCGGCTATATTTACGTATGCCATTGCAAAAATATAAATTGATTTATGTATAAATAAGTTCTCAGAGATTTTTGTTCGCGACTGCTCCCAATTTTACTCACTCCGATTCTGACTCGCTCTCACTCTGAGCTGTCTCAGTTCTATCCCACTATAATTTCAAACACCACACAAATGACAAAAAGTAGTTATATACTGAGAAATCAATATGCGTTGAAAAATCATTAAGAAATGCACTGGTGATAAAACAGGTTGCATTTTGCGTTCGGAAGTTCACCAGTGTGCGAAAGATATAAGGCTATATGTTCAGGATTCCCATCCGAGTGCCTTCTTCTTCTTATTTAAGGCTGCGCAGAATAAGGGCTGCGCAGAATAAAAGGAACGGGAAACAGAGAATAAGAATTTCAACCTATCAGAAATTACTTTATCTCAATGAACTTTATTTCAAGTTTAATATTTATTGAGAGATATTCCTTTTGTATTATAGTTGTTCGCCTGTTAAACAGGCGAAATTAAACATTTCGGGATATGAAGGGGATCCTAAAGCAACTTTCTTCTTTCTTGGTAATATTGCCTCGTCCCCGAATTCCTATCCTAAAGCAACGGCCGAACTTGATCGAGGTCGGTAATACTGTAAGGGACCACCTTTTTACCGACTGTCCCGACTCCCGTCCGTCCTAGTTCCACTAAGAGGCCGCCTGAGGCGCTGTCGCGACGCGACGCTCCCGCCGTTACGTCACTGCAGCGTGATTGGCCCGAGTAGGGTGGGAAGACCACGCGCGGCTATCATTGGCCGCTTGACTTATTTGAATTAAGAAAGAGGGTCTTTCGGATTATTTGTGATTATTTGTGCGCCGTATCGTCCCCCTAATCCTCCTATTCATTATCCGGAGGCTTGAGCCATTAATTAAAGGATTATTTGTGCACGTCATGCGACGCTTGGTGCGAGGGTATCATTTGGTATGTACGACCTACAGAATTTCTACAATCAATTAATTATAACCTCAAGTGACAACTATGTAAGAGCTGAAATAAGTGAATTTTTCATTTTTTTTCTCCAATTTTGTTATTAAGGGTGCGTTCCACTTAACGTTCGCAACGCTCGCGAGTATTATTTTGTCCTTGTAATCGAATATTAAATGAGGATGAGTAAATTTAAACATTACCTATATCATTTTAATGTGTACTTTCGAAATTTCATGATCTATAAAGCCAATTCGGAGAAAATGGTTCACTGTAATTGTTGGGCCATTCCCGTTGTTGCTTTAGGATCCCCTTAAATAATAAAATTTCGTAAAAAATTGTTTTGTATATTGTATGTTATACGTCTCTTTACGTATTGTGTACTGTACTTATTTTAATTCTTTTATATTTAAGAAAACTACAAAGTACAAAGATTTATTTTTAAATTTATATTATTTATATTTAGATACAAAGCATGGATTTCCTTAATATCTTATATGTTATATATACATATATATGTGTATATACACTCACACATGTATATATCACATTGATTTTTTAAATTTTATCATAAAAAAAGTTTGTTAGTAAAGAATTAATAATACATATGGCGAAATAATAGTTACAAAGGTAATACATTTTTTAATTTCTTCTAGACTGTCTATAATTGTTTAGATCCAACCGTATGTATTGTAGTTTAATATCGTTTAGTGTTACTTGCCTAAAACAAATAATATTTTAATTATTAAAAATAAAAATTGATATATGCATGTATGATATTTGAATATACATATGTAAGCAAATTTATTAAAAGAACACTACATATTATACTTAAACTTAATAATTAAATGGTTTCAATAATATAGTATATACCATAATATATACAATATAATAATAGAAGGTATAACGTATGAATTTTATTTTTTATGATTGTTCGAAAATCTTTTTATTTCTATATTTTCTTATTTAGGTATCTTTCTAAATATAATAATGAACATATAATAAATGTGTTAAAAATTGTATAAAAATAAACTTATTATAGAGATACACATTATAGGGTTATATTCCAAAACATCCTCTGAGGAAAATTTTACTGGATGTAATAAAGTATATGGCTATATGGTGTAATGTAAACGATATAATATACACCGACAAAATACTACCGTCAATCTTGAACAAATTGTTGTCCGTATATGATAAAAAGGGCTCCAAGGGTCCAAAGGTAATTGAAGAGTGCTGATGGCATTACAATTAATATTTATGATTATTAACATAAATACATTATTAAATTTATGATTTTTTTATTATATATAAATGCTCCATAAACAAGTATATGCATAATTGTATAATACTATATTATCTTATACAATATATTGCCGCAATATTACAATTTTTTTTCTCTACGGTTGTAACATCTCTGTTGATAATCAAATTTAGACGATAACATTAAAATTACAATTTTAAAGGAAAATGGAGTTGTTGGGCTTCAAGTGCATAATATATATATATATGTGTATATTATTGCAACTAATTTTATATATTACATTGTTATTATTATAACATGAGTTTTTTTTTTCTTTTTGTACTTTAACGAATCTATCTAATTTGTTAAAAACTATATACCCTATCATAGTTATTGATTTATTTATAGCCTTAGTGATCTTATTAATAATAGATTTAACGTATGGAAAAACGATCATGTTTTTTGTTGCCACATCCTCAGCCTCCATATTTTAGTTATTATTTTTAATCATTTTTTTTAGATCTTTTGACTGCTAAGTTTTTTATCCGTTTATTTATTTGATTGAATATCATTTCTAAAGGGTAATCACTGCTCAATAAAATCTTGATAATTAATTATTTTTATGGAAAGATGGATTAGATAACAAAATCGCTCTGTCAACTAATTACTAAACCATATATAGTCTCTACTTTATGGTATGTAGGATAATTTGAATAAAATGACAAATATCTACTTGAAAATGTCTACGATATGCGAAATCACGTCTGCGGGAGCGATCATAAATATGTCATCTACATATCTATAGTAAACATTATAATAAAATATTATAACATTACAAGTATGCATACATTATACTTATTTATGAAACATTTATATAATAAAAAATAATATAAATTTAATAATATGTTAGCCTAATATTTATACATAAACTTGGAAAGAAAAGGGCACTAAGCACTAAAGGAGTTAAGCGCAGTTAACTTTACGCAAACGCTGATATATGTATATCAAGTAAAATTTATTATTATAATAATTGTGCTTACATGTTTCAGCTCATTTTTGAGCCTTCTTCAGAGACAATGCAAATTACATAAATAAATTATAAATAAAAAATAATAAAAAGGATCAAGTGGTGTTTAATCACAGTGTGCTCCCCCACAACCAAGAAATAAAATCTGATGTTAATTCCATCTTACAGAACATATTAATATAATAAATAAGTTTTGTTTGATATATATCAGCATTTGCATAAAGTTATATGCGCTTAACTCCTAGTGCCCTTTTCTTTCCAAGTTTATGTTTGAATTGTACAGAAGTTTTTGTTATTTAAAAATTGTTATGCGTTCTAATATTTACGTTAACAATCATAAATTTATATCAATTGTCGATAATGTTGATGTTTTTCAATTATCTTTGGGCCCTCGGAACACTTTTTTTTTTGAGGACGAAGATTTGCTCAAGGTTTATGGTTTTTAATAGTATCATCTCGTCGGTGATTATACTTACTTATACATTTTGTACGGATTGCCACCTATCCGGAACCAGTGGTATTGGACCGAGTTCCACAAGCTACTTTCTCCATCCCAAGAACAGATTTGTTGATGTTCATGCCCATTGCCGTCTAGAAAAATATACATAAGTAGCAAAGATATAAAGACTGGACTGCACGATCCGTATCTAAGTTTAGATTTTTCTATTCAAACGTAGTTGACAATAATAAAAGAAAGATCGTGAAAGAGAGACCGTGAAAGACGGCGCGCTCTCTCTCTCTCTCTCTCTCTCTATATATATCTCTCACTCACTATTGAATGGAAAAAGAGATTTGCTATCCCTCTCTCTTACTTTTATCAACCATTTTGACTTAGGGGAGAGTGATCTAAATCGGATCTATTTGCAGTTTTTGTTCTTTATAAGGCGTAAATAAAGTCTGATCATAAAACCAATGATGCCGTTCGAAAGATCATTTAATTTTCTTCATTTTTGCTTCAGACCATTTTAATGTATCTCTTGTGTCGAACTATAATGGAAAATATAAAAATGCATTTTCCAGTCTGGAACTATGAGTTCCAAATCGGACCTCTCCTATTTTTGGACTTTTAGAATTTTAAAATATTTTAATTATTTTTTTTGTTAGTATTGAGTAAAAACGAGCAATTTAAGACTCAAAGTAAAAATACAGTTTATATTATTAGAATTAAAATCAATAAAAAATTCCATCAATTCGAGTCTGATGACATATGGTATTTTATTGATTTAGTGTTCCTTAGACTAGGTCTAGATATCGGTCGATCACCAGTACTTCAACCAGGTTGGTTGTGGCAAACTAATTTTTTGGCTCTTTACACGCAAAAAATTGCGTACGAATGCAGGATCTACAGATCGCACCGAGCGATACATCACTCGACGCCTCTGAGTATTTTTTTGAAGTCGTATATAAAATTAAAAAATGTAGACAGAGAGAGAGAGAGAGAGAGAGAGAGAGAGAGAGAGAGAGAGAGAGAGAGAGAAAGAGAGAATCGTATATCGCTTGGCTATATGTCTTTAAATTTTCATAATTCTTACCACGATGGCTATGAGAAAGAAACAGAGTAGTTTGCCGAAAAACTTCATCTTCCACTGGAATATTTGCTTGTACTAATATCGTACATGTTGACATTCTTTTTATACGATCACAGTACGATTATCTAGGTATCTTTTATCGAAAATATATCTTCGATCAAAAATGTTTTTTATTTGCGCGATAGCATTTCCGGCACTTCCGCAAACAGTAACTAATTTCAAAGTTGACCGTATCAGCTATTCGTACATATACATATGTACAATCATGTAATATAAACGAATCATTACACGCAAAAAAAAAGCAAGTTATTAAAAGAAAAAAACAACGTGTAACAATCATTATTTCTTCTTTATTATTTGTTGGATTTTCGAAGATAACAGAACATACTGCACAATAGAATATTACACAATGATTTTATAATGCTG